CAGAAGCACCATTTTCGATCTGCCAAAGCCCATCAAGAATCCATCGAACTTACCTCTGATCTTTGGAAAAACAGTCGATCTGCAGCTACAGCAGATAATTGAATATGTCCTGCGCGACTTTATGCTGCCCTGGCTGGGGTAAGTAGCCTCCAGAGTGGCCTTCCCTCCCCCATCCTCTAATGAACTCCAATGCACTATTAGCTATGTGGTCACGAATCCGAAGCTTATCAACGACGTGGTGCGAGAGGATCTGTGGAATGCCATACAGAAGATCCATGAGCGCGCCAGCAAAATGGATCCGGCAAAGATCATAGCCGTGGATATGGTGAATCGCGTCACCGTTCACCTGGAAAAGATACGCATTGCCGAGGCCCGAGCGTGAGTTACCATCGATTATCATGGGATCGTTTCACTCAACACTCTTTTCGCACAGGGCCGAGACGAACACGGCGCCAGTCTTCAGCAAAAACTCTTACCTGTCCGATGAGGTGAAGGAAATGGAGTTTCTGCGCAAGCTGTGTGAGATCATGGTGATCTTGCTGTTGCCACGCGGCTACTCCCTCCCTCCGCTCAAGATGCTACTTAGCGAAATCTTATCCTACAAGAGTAAGTTCTTCACCAGAAGAACGTTCAAATATTCCTTTTTAGAGTTGTGGTAACATCCAGAAGGAAGCGTTTCCGACCCCATAAAACATAGATATTCTTCATAAGAATCAATAGCCGAGTCGATTGAGCCATGTCTGTCTGCCCGCCTGTCCCTCTGGATTAGCGCCTAGATCTCAGAGAGTATAAGAGCTAGAGCAACCAAATTTCGTATCCTGACTACTATGATATCACAACACAAAGGACGAAAATCATAGAAAATGACCATAGCTACCAGATCTCCGAATCTCAACCAGATCGGATAATTATTGTACCCCTTCCACGAGCTCGTTCTCTCTCTCTCTCTCTCTCTATCTCTCTCTCTATCTCTCTCTCTCTCTCTCTCTTTCGTGCATTGTGCACACCGTGTCGAAGGGAAGCGAGATATAACGACTGTTGTTGGTTTGAGAAATAAGATGTGGATGGGATAAACGAGAAACGAAGAATGGACATTGGCACATAACTAGGCAGAGGAGAAGCATTCGGCTTACGAATAATTACTAATAGAATATATTGTACATACATATATACTGTCCGAGAGCCTGGTGTAAAAGAAAAGTTACCACACTTGCCGTTTCTTATAGTTTTATACCTTCTCTGGATTTTAGTCTTCTTTCCCATGATCAACATGCTCACCGCACCCGACTACATAAACCAGAAGGTGGTGCAGAACATCGAAACGCGGCTGGCGGCGGCGGCGATGAACAAGCGGAGCTATGAGTATGCGGCCAGCTTTGAGGACTTCCTGAAGATCATCAACAGCTCGGGAAACCTGGAGGAGCTCTCTCTCATCCGCAAGAGCATCGTGAACGACCTGATGCATGCCACAACCATGCAGAACTTACAACGTGCCAAAGGCCTCGATCCGGACCATGAGGACCATTCCCTATCCAAGTCCGAGCTGACGGCGGCCGTGCGGCTTAAGCGATATGTCCGCCAGCTGACCATGGCCAAGGCCGAGTGCGAGAAGAATTTGGCGAAATTCGGCTGGAACGGCAACTACTCTAGCGACATTGTAAGTGGCCCAGGATAACTGAATTTACATATTTCTTATGTCTCATGTCTTGTCAAGGATCTGACGCTAGAGGAAATATTGAACACGGCCGTCGGCCGACGGTACTTCACCCTGTTCCTGGAGCCGCTGAAGGCTAGTGCCCTGGTGGGATTCTACCTCGCCGTGGAGGAGATCAAGCACGCACACAAGAGTGCCACCCATCAACTGGGCACAGAGATCTTCTACACGTACATCCGTGTACCGAAGCCGGAGATCCAGATCGACAAGCACGAGCGCAAGCTGATAGAGACCTTTCTGTTGGGGGATGCCGATCCCGACATCTTCTATGACATCCAGCGCAACATCCTGCGCACCCTCGAGGAAAAGTACTATCCACCATTTGTGCTCAGCGGTCAGTACCGACAGCTGAAGGAGGCGCTGGACTCGAACGAATTTACCGATCCCACCTTGATGCTGTGCCCCGCCATCGGGGATGTATCCGAGACACAGGACGAGCACCCCAGAGCCGCAGATGGTCTCAATGGCAGGGCCATTGATGTGGCCGCCCACACGTCGTATGCACGGCGGAAGCTGGAACAGATACAGGAGCGCATTGACAAGAAAAATCAGGCCCTGGACGCCCTTAAGTATTCGGTCAAGCCGGAGTCCAAGGTCTTATCCATACTCGAGAAGGAAATGGAGTGGCTGAAAAGCGAGAAGCGTCAAACGGAGGCACATCTCCGGCGAACAGACGCTTGGACCGAGCACCTGGGCAAGTGGAAGGCCACCATACAGAGTGTGGAAGTGAGTGGACTGTGGACTCTGACTGATAGTCTCAAATCATAATCCTTCTCGTCCTCGCCACAGGTCTCCGATGAAAAAGAGTCGCTGCAGTTTATGATACTTGTCCATGTGGACGAGGACATCAACGCTCCCCCGCAGGCGTTGCCAAAGAATGGGGACAGCAGCAACGCCAAGCCGGCCAAACGGCCCTCGGGAATCTCCAGCGGCTGGGTAGTCATGCGATCCCTCAACCAAGTCCATGTAGGCGGGGGGCCCCGCCCCGAAGTGATTGTCATTTACACTAGTGGCTGACTCTTTCCACATCTCTTCCCCTACAGGAGCTGCAACGAAAACTTCGACACGTTAGCTCGAATCTAAAGACGCTCGACTTACCCACCAACTTCAAGTTCTTCTTCCTGAAGACGGACCGGCATGGCCAGGAAAAGGCCAAGGGACAAATCCAAAAGTTTCTTAACGTGAGATTGATATATTCTTTGATCTACTACTGGAAAAGTCATAATCGCATATTTCTTGAAACAGTTCATACTCGAGGACGATCACCTAAATGGCAGCGAGGCTATCTACACGTTCCTCAGTCCCAGCTCAGACCACCTGAAACAGTCGCTGCCCTCGCCCAAAAAGTCAAAGTTCTCGCTATCCACGCTGTTTAAGAGCGACGCTGCAAAGGCTCACGACTCCAGCAAAGCGACAGATCCCTTCTGGGGCCTGCAACGCGACGACGAGGACATCTCGACGTACCTGGACGGAGAGTCCGGCATCGATGCCAGTCGACTGATGGCTGACATAGACAGCAAGGACTCTATAGCAGAGCCCCTCTATGCTCTTATGGGCGAGATATTCGACATGGGCGGCGTCTTCAAATGGCTGCGCAAGAGCATCATCTCCTTCGTGCAGATTACGTACGGCCGGACGATTAATCGACAGATCCGCGAATCGGTCACGTATCTCTTTGAGGAGTCCATGCTGCACAACTACTTCTCTGTCATACTGAAATCTTTTTGGCCAGGCGGTGTACTGGCCTCTGCCTACCCTTCGCGCTCCGACGACATGCGCGAGATGACCAGCACAGCGGCCAAGGCTCTGCTCACCGATCACATACCCGAGGTACTCTGCAATCTGGTGGGGGCCCAGGCGGCCAAGCGAGGCGTCCTCAAGGTCTTCGAGGCCCTCCAGAACCCCGCTTACAACAAGCAGCTCTTCTATGTAAGTGATTTAATGCATTGTCGGAATTGTGGGTCACCAGTAACCTGCCGTTCTTTCAGGAACTACTGGAGATACTCATGATTGAGTTCTTCCCCGAAATACGACAGCTTCGAGTGAACAATACCTCCACCAATGGCACCAAGTTGAACACAGCTACCGCGGGGGCTGCAGCTGCCTCGGCTGCAGCAGCTCTGGCAGCCGCCACGGCAGCCGCCACCCTGCCCCTGAACCATGGCAGTGCCAGTGGCAGTGGCAGTGGCGGCGGACTGACCACCGCCTCTCAAAACCATCACCAGCAAGTGTCATCGTCATCATCGATGTCGTTGTCCACGTCGTCTGCCTCGAGCAGCACAGGAGGTTCGCACTCACATCTGCAGTCCCATTATCACCACGGATCCCATCATCATCAGCCTCACCAGTCTCACCAGCAGCAGGGGCATTCGGCACACTCAGGCAGCTCCAAGTAGACGGCATACTCGTATTGTTTTTATTATTTTTAGTTTTGTTTTCGTTTTCATATTTATGTTTTTACCAACTCATTAGGTGCTAAGATTTTCATGATATTACTTGAATGCTCGCTACTCTTTCTACTTGGTGAAATAGATGCAGGCGTGTAGCTGAATGCGGAATGCGGAATGAGGAATGAGGTTGTATCCCAGTAACTCCATCAATCAGATCAGCATTGCAACTTATTTCCAGCCCCCGAATTCCATTGATTTTAATTTGTTGTCTCAGTCTGTTGTTGATTTTGATTTGCTAGCGTTATTCGTTGGTTATGTGTATAGTATGTCTGTCTGTACATATGTACATACAATTTATGTAGGTCAGTATTAAGCGTTGTACCAAATCGTTGTTTATAGTTAAATGAGGCACTCACCATGATCGATTATGCATTGTTTTCCCGAGCCCCAGCTTGTACGCGTGAGCAACCCACTTGTGGAGTACATTTTAAAACTATACGACAGTTGTCGGCTAGCAAATAGAAATATTTGTTTTGTATTAACTGACCAACTACCAACTACTATCTAATAACTGATTCATCTGGCTTTAATTCTATTACTTAATCCGTAGGGGCCGGTATTCGATAACAATGCTTACGATAAAAGATGCACACCGTCTTATAGATCCGACCATGGTCGAACTGTAGTCATTGCCCACTAACCCACTTAACCCGAACCCGTAGATCGTGGGTAGATCCCACTTCATTCCCTCCCCTCCCATGCTCTTTCAACGTAAAGACACGCGTACGCGTACGTACGAGAATGCGTATATTTATGTATGTATTGTAGTTGTACAATTTTATGTGGAAACGTGAAATAAAACTCGGTATTTATTGAGAATCCCATTCTGGATAATCTCTACTCCTTGGTACTAGAACACGGCAATTTTTTCCACCAGTTTGTTCAGCGCTATTTCTTGCATGTCTACCACAATCGCGGAAAGATTCTTGCGCATGCCTGCTGGTTTCCTTATGAGCAGCTTAACTTCAAAATACTTTAGCAGAAAGCGCCACTTGAGTCCGGTCTTCTCACGCTCTGAAAGCCGCTGAAAGTCATCCGTTTTGATGCCCATCACACGCTCGGCCACGTGTCCGCTCAGACGGCTCTCGATCAACGTCCCCGTCTGATCAGACAACTCAATATTGATGTTGATGAAGCTCGAGTGTCTTGGCTCATTGGATTCCAGCGAGAACACTAATTGACAAGCTTCACTGGTGCAGTCGTTTTGATTTCGTGGAATAAGACGTTGGCATGTTGTGCTAAAAATTCAGCAATTAAATAGACATATAAAAAGAAAGAAAAACACGTGGGGTCAGACTCCTCCTGAGACTGGAAATGCCACTTGCCACTTCTTGCTGGTGTTCATGGAAAATCCGTCAATGTCGAACTTGGTGACCATACAGTAGAGCACGGCCGTAAACCGATCGTTGGCTGGATTGCAAAGTTCACCCTCGGCACGAGAGTAAATCTGTTTTGTTGTCATCTGGCTTTGGATTTCGCAGGCTGTCGACGACAAAATTGAGAGCCGATTATAAACGAATGCCACATCCGCTAAGTGCGGATGATATTCACCTGTCGGAAGGTCCTGCAAATCTGTTAGGACTGACTGTTCAAAGTTCTTAAGCGGCACAGTGGCGACAAACGAGAGTAGCGCATCACAGTCTCCGCCGGCGGCCTGCGGATTCTCATAGATAAGCGTACAGGCGGCGTGGTTGAGCACTGGACAGCGATAGTAGTCCGAATAGGAGATACGCACATCGATCAAGTGCAGGACGGTTCTTCGCGGCTCCCAGTACTGGGCGCGGCGTATCCACTCCGCTTGCCACAGGGATAGCAACATGCCATCTGGATAGCTGGCATCGATCACGATCAGTTCGAGGCACTGGAGTAGTCCGTTGTCCTTCCCATGGCTTGGGGTAAGCTTGCGCTTCAGCTCGCGCAACGGACGAACCGCGGCAACAACCACAAGTAGGTCCACATATGCATTGATAAGCCTTTCCTGAAGCCCAATGCCACTGACAACCTCGACCAGATTAAGGGCAGAGCCAAGGGGCTTGTGCGGCTTGTGGATGAGCTGCTGCAGGGCCTTTACGGCGGTGTCGTTGGTGTCGTGTCGCACAATATGACCAGAGCCTTCGTTGACCGTTAGTGCGCACGAGAGGGTAGCTCGGGGCTGATAGCGAGGCTCGTGAGGCATAGAAAGCGACATCACCTTTGCGCCGACGATGTCCACCGCGTCGCCAATGTGCAGCATAGCGTCATACTCATCCACGCATGACTTCTGACCCCAGCACGTGCAATTGGTAATGTGGCTGATGGAGTCGCGTACCGTTAGCGTGATGACGCCACGCTCGTTGCCACTGAGCTTGTCCAAGAACAAGTTAGGCGACGATTTCGATATAATCAGAACAACCGTCGAAAAGTTAGTCATGGTAGGCTGCATTTCAGCCAGTGGCAAGATTTTTCTCTTTTGCGTAGAATTCGACATTTTTTCGTTCAGAAGAGTTGAGATCTGGGAAAGCCGTTACTGCAACAAAATATAGGAGGAGCATTGTTGTATCGATAGATGTTCAAAACTGTATCCGATGTGATTGAGATGGTAGCCGATAGGTGTGACGTTTCCCATCTCCAATTAGGCGAAACACTCCTATACCCCTGGGTTAACGATTGTCACTTTTCTTGTTCGATGTGAAAAGCAATAAGTGAATGACATAGCTATCTCAAACCCACCCACCAAAACATTAAAAAACCTACAAGCCACGCAAGGCACTCTACAAGCAGAGCCAGACGCAAGAGAGCAGCAGCTACAAGTTTCGCAAACTGCACAGTGAGAGAGCGCTGAAATAGCGAAATAGAAATAGATAAATATGGTCAAGCTGTTTGCATTGAGCGTCTTCTTCAAAGGTGCCAGCGAAGCGCGTATACTGAAGACAGCATCCGACTTGCAGTCCTTCTCGTTTTTCCAACGTAGCACCGTCAATGAGTTTATGACGTGAGTAATTCATATTGGACCATTGTGCCCTCGCCACAGCGACGGCGCAATGTCCATCCCCCTCATATGACCAGCGCTTACGCACTAACATTTCTTCTCGTTTGGGTCACGGCAGCTTCGCATCGAAAACGATTGTGGAACGCACACAGCCAGCGCTTAGGCAATCTGTTAAGCAGGATGCCTACATGTGTCACGTCTATGTTCGGGCCGATAATCTGGCGGGAGTGCTCATTGCCGATCATGAGTATCCGCACCGAGTTGCTCACACACTTATTACAAAGATACTCGACGACTTCACGGCGAAAGTGTCCGCCGACCAGTGGCCCAACGGTACGGAGGCCACCATAGCCTTTGACCTACTGCCAGCATTTTTGTCGAAATATCAGAACCCCGTAGAGGCCGATCCGCTCACGAAAATGCAGAATGACTTGGACGAGACAACGATAATATTGAAGAACACAATTGAGGCTGTGCTGGAGCGGGGCGAGAAGCTGGATGACATGGTCAACAAATCGGAAAAGTTGTCCATACAGAGCAAGGCCTTCTATAAGACAGCGAAAAAGACAAATTCGTGCTGCAGCTTCACCTAAGCTCCCCACAAAATCTCATTCCCCCTCGGACTAGCACAGAATCAGGAACACCAAGAAAAAAGGATCACTTAAAAGAGAACACCAGCAAAAACAACCAATTAAATATATTACTGAAAGTGGAGGAGTTTGTATGGTTTTTATAAAATAATTAGTTAATTTGATATATATATATATGTGTATGAGTGTACTACCTGCTACTATATACTATATACTATATGAATACGAAATCGGCCTGGCAGCCATGGTCCCCCACTACCGCCCCCTTCCCCTTCCCCACTCTAATAAACATATGTATGTACGTATAATCGTATGCCAACTTTGGCATCCATTGTCTTGGTATTGTCTGTATGTGTATGTGTATGTCTACATATGTTTATGCTATGAATATACAAATTCTATGATGTTAATTCTACCAATATAAATAATGATCTAAACCTATAATGCTGTGTTCTGCGTGTACTTCGATGCCCAACGATCTAACGCCCACCAATGACCTTTCGTCGGCAAAGTCTACAATTATTCTACAATCTTTGGTTCAATAGATAATAGTCTGTTTCATTCCCTGCCCTGCCTGATGCTTCGCGACGATTAAGTTGTGCTAACGCAAGCGTCGGGCATTTCAATAAAGTCAATTCGAGCGCGTTTCCTTTATCCTGTGATTCGAATTCCCACTACGGTCACCTCCTGTTTCCATAACTAATTTTCGAGAGAGAACATTTCGACTCAATAGTGTCTACAGATCATCCATACTTTGGGACACTCCCAGGTGGAGGGAACAGATGTGTGATTGCCTGATATTCCAGAGCTCGACTACTCCTTTGAGTTTCAAGCAATTTACATGCATGCAGTCAATATGAGCGCCAAGCGGAAACAATTGCAGTTGCAATCGTTCGACTCTTGGACTCTTATCAAATCACGGACCAATTTTATTGAAGCCGATACCTCTGTTCCGTCATCATGGGCGTTAACCTTTCCAAGTGCGAATACGGATACACGGCAAACGGAAAGGCCTGAACTGAGTGTGTCTTATTCGGCAATACACAAAGCTTTTCCCACCCACAATTCTTGAAACGAACACCAAAAACCATCTTAATAAAAGTAGTATTCAACAATTTTAATTATTTTCAGACAAAACTGAAACCAGGGCGTGGCGCAATTTGACATTTTTGTGGATTTAATCTAATGCTCGTACGCTACGTTCGTGTATTTAAATTTCTAAGCCCACAATACAATACATAGTACATCTGAATGCTATATGTACATACTTATAGCTATGTGGTCTATTTCCACATGAAATTCCAGTGATTATCGGTCTCCAGATTCGTTTTTTCATGCGTGAGAGCCAGGGGTTGTGTTATTAAGCGTAAAACTGATATTCACCTGACAAAATTAAACGTCTGAGCAGGCTCAATGTCTTAGACTGCCTGCACTTTTCCGTGTGATTCCATGTTTTTGGTACTTTCGAGTGGGTCGCATAGGGAAGATTAACACTTGCCTCAACACAGAACTACTTAAAGTACGAAACAATTCGAGGAGAACCCAGAAGGGAGTTGGAATGAAGAGCATGCCACGCGACGGACATCTCGAACGGGATTTTATAAACAAGTAACATGTAAAACAGAGAAACGTACATAAATGCCGGACGGAACCTTCTCGTAGGCGTTCCAACAAAGTACCAACAAGTAAAATAAATACATTAACCCTATGAATATAGATAAATATCGACATTTTACTGAATAACTATGCTGCTGGTAGGTCGGCTTTCGATCCCGCTCCAGCTCCTTCGTTTCTATTGGCCAGGGAATCAGCACCGTCGCTTTCGATAAAGAGACGCATAAATTGACTGCAACGGACTTTGTAGTCCGGCCAGGCCTTGCACTCGCTGCTCCGCAGAAGAATACGACCAAAGGTGACAGCTGCGCAGAGGAAATTAACGATCAATAAGATTTTCAGAAGCTCTGAATAAGATAATCAAAGACGCACCGACTTGATGCAGCTCGTAGTACTGGCACTCGATGCCCTCGCGCAAGAACATGCACAAGTGCATGAATACATTGCGTTTCGGTGGACTGAGCAGGGCTATGTAGTCCATGGCCTTCGACTTGCTATTGCACGCCAGCAGATCTTCGACAAATGGCTCAAGCAGCGCCTGCTCGGGCAGGTCCAGCAGGAGCAGCAACGCCTGTGCAGCGCTCTGTGGAGTTCCAGCTGGAGTCGCAGAAAATCAGGTGTCAGTCAGGTGTAGATATGTGGTTTTAGCACAACTTACGAAACTCTTCGTCGGACCACGTGTCGAGCCAGTCGCGCACCACATTGAAGTGTGCGTTCACAGATTTCCGCGGCTCGAAAGTGTGGAATCCGCCCTCAAGCTTGGATCCCTGCTTGTGCAAGTAGTCGATGAGCAGAAAGAACTCGCGTGGCATCGTCACACAATATTCCTGTGAGTCATCATTCATCTGCATGCCCATAGAATAAGTTAACTCAATGCCTTGGCGTCACGTTTGGCAACTAAGGACTAAGGACTCACCAGGTGCTTGATCTGCTCCTGTGAGTATTCACTAAGCGGGCGATCAGTGCGACACATCGTTTCCATTGAGAGGCCAAAGCAGCTGGGCTGGTAATCACCCGTGACTGTGATGAAGATGTCGCGTCCGTTCTCCACGTGCAGGATGAGGATGTCGAAGTTGTCGCTGGTGCGGATCTTTTTGAGTAGACCCCTGATCGTGTGCACGTCTGCGACCATCTTAATACGTATGCTGCGCGCCGAGTCGATCATCAGGCTGTCCTTTCGTGGATCCACCTGCAGCCACTTCTCGCATATGTCGTGGATGTCCTTCTCCTTGAAGCTGAAGTCGACCGGCAGCGGGCAGCTGTTGTACACGTTAAAGTCCTGCATGCACGGCTCGTTGAAGCGCACCCGTCCGAAGTCGATAACAGTCTTCTCTACGCTGATCTGTGGCTGGTTGTCGTTCTCGCGCTTGTCCACCGCCTTCAGTACCTCCTCTTGCACGCGCTTGTACTTGACTTCGTCGCGAGTTTTGATCTTGACCCGGAACACGGCGTAGACGGGTTTGTGGTCGCTCTGTCGTATATCCATAATGCTGTTGTAGGCCAGCTGCTCGATGCGCGTGCCCTTCCACAGCACTCGGTCGCAGTATGCGGGCGCTCGCTGCTTTTCGCTGCTGTCATAATTGTCAGTTCCCGGGTCGTACTTGTACGTGGGCCGAAACTTGATCTCGCCCTCCGTGTAGCCCTCGAAGCACTTGCCTTTGCGCATCTCCTGGCGCAGCTGGTCGTATTGTAGGAGCAGCTCGTACGTCTGGGCATCCGTCAGCGGCCCGGGTCGTTGCTGCCCGGGCGGCTCCTGTATGCGATAGTTCAAGTCCCCCAGCCAGAAGATGTGGCTGCAAGGTGGACAAAAAAGTAACTCAAGTGTAAGTTTCATTGTACTCGTACTCGGAGCTTACTCATGATCGCTGATGGTGCGACCATCGTCGAATCGGAGCCCGTCCACTATTGCATTGTAGTCCTGGTTGCGCTCCTCCACATAGCCCATGTGGGCGGCCAGATGGGAGTTAACAAAGCAAATGTGTCCCTCGTTCAACTGCAAACTGATGGCCACTCCGCCCTTATTGCCCAGCGTGTTTAGAACGCCACGTGCCACGGACTTAAAGCGGCAGCGCAGGATGTGCTGGCGCAACTGCTTGCGTACGATCACCGTCAGCATGATGCCCACCAGACGGTGGTACTGCAGGATCTCGTACTCAACATCTGGATGGACACTCTGCACCATTTTTTCGCTGAAAATGCGAGACATGCAAGAAATGAGTATGTGCGAGCTTTCAGTGGGAAGTGGGTCTTGCGCTTACTTCCACTGGGCTACACTGGCCTGGACCTGGGTGGAGTTAAGCATGGCCTTGGCAGGAGTGTCCAGCTCCTGCAAGCCAATGGCATAGATGTCAGGAGCCCGCTCGCTGCATCCCAACCAGGACCGCAGACCGTCAGGGCTGTCGCAGCAAGGTTTGTTGTTCACGTTCCAAGTGGCGCAATAGATTCTACAACAAAAGGGCATATATATTAGTGGGTGTTGGGTGGGACAGAGTCTGCTCACATAATATCCTTGTAGACAATGTACTCGCTCTCGCGCTTCTTCAGCTCCTGCTTGACCTCGCCGATTTGGCGGTAGTCGTTCAGCCATCTGAAGTTGAGAACCGTTTCGGGATCGCTTCGGGCCATGGAACTCTTGCAGGAAATGATCTTGGCCACGAACTCTTCATAGCTGGCGCTCTCACTTGGATAGAAATAGTACTTGATGGGTCCATCCTCGGCCGTGGACAGGTCAAATTGGTAAGCCGTGATCGATCCCTTGCAATCTATGGGCAACACCTAGACTTATGTATACATCAATAAATTGTAGGAGCCTCCATCTCACCTTGCCGCAGCTGGAAACTCTCATCAATGGCAAACACTTTGTTGACGATCAACTCATTTACAGATGTAAGCGGCGTGCGCACGAACGAAAACGAGATGATGGCAAACGTCCCGCCGGACTCCGAAGAAACCAGCGCCAGTAGTCGATTGGCGTCTTCGGGTCCCTTGATCTGATAAGCCTCAAATAGCTGGAACATAAAAAACCAAAAAGTGTTATCTTTGGGAGAGAAGACCGGCCATATATGTACGTATGCTCGGAGCTGTCTTTCGTCACTGCCTGTGTAGCGACCACGTAAGCTCCGTGCCGTACAGCCGATAATTATTCATCGTCGCTGGAGACATTGTTTGTTTTGGCTTTTTCTTGTGTTTTTTTTGTTGGTTATGTTGGGTTGGGTCGCGTTGGCTTACATAGAGTATTATTTCGTCTTCCTTGAAACGCTCCCTGACTATTTCCAGGTTCGACTTGACCCCTGTCAGTCCATTCGGGACGTGGTCGCCCACACTTTCCATTGCCAGGAATATTGATTGATTGATACTTTGGTTGGCTTCCCTCGTTCCCTCGTTCCTTGTGTTTGTGATGTCGGTCCGAGTCTAGGTGGCTCCGGCGTTTTTGTTCGTTGTTTTTAATCTCGCAATGCAGAAAAATACTTGGCTTCTGTGATGTGCTGTGGCAACTGCTTCGATATGGATAGTTGTTTGCTTTTCTATTTTTAGTTGGCGCGCCAGTCAGCCGCGGCAGCGAAAAGTGACATTAATGACGAGCGTATGGGATTGGAATTCCGATGCGAAATGGGCGTTTCTTTCGATTGCGAGGGCGAACTTGAGGGCTCGGGCTCTGGTCTGACCCTGCTCTTGGTTGAAACCGTAGCCGTTTGTTTGTTTCTGCTTCGGTTTATCGTTGTTGTTGCTGTTGTCTCGGGGTTCTCATTTTCCGTCAAGGCGGGCGTATCACAGACGCTGGACGCTGTCTCTCACACATATGAACACAGGCAGCCACTTATTCATCGGCGATGACGATAATTACGTTTAAATTTCAGGTTTCGATTCTGAATTGTTCATAACCGTGATTGAATGGATTGCATCCATTACATAGTTCACATCTCACACGAAAACTGTCACACGCGTGAATAACTGCTCAAAAAACATGTCATTACTGTGGCTTTATAGTATTCTTTCGTGGGACCGAGACCTGCTCAGTGGAAGTTGTTACGACCCGCCTCTTTACCACCCTGGCCTATCGTTCCCAGCTATCTCACGGGGAAGTCAGGGTTGTTTCCGACCCGATAGACCAGCGGACGGATGAACAAAAACAAAAAAACCAAACCAACTTTTCAACCAAGCTTGTCCCCGTTGGCACTCTCTTCAGCGGGGATATTTGATATTATTATCCCTAGCGTGGTCCCTCCCTTCCATGAACGCCACATTTTGAATTCGCGCGCTCCCTTTTTCTATTCAGGGTCCCGCTCTTCTTCTCGCTCTCGTCCCACGCAACTAACGTTTTCTACGCACTCATAACTACACTTGACTTTCATATTATATTTTCTTATTTATCTATTTTTAACAATATTAATTCATAACCTAGATTCCCAGCCCTGACTATCGGCTCTCTCTAAGACCGCCCATAACAAAGTGTAACAGCGGTCTACCAACACTGCCATATCAGCTGAGGCTCTAGTATCCAATACACTTCAGGCTGACGGGAAAGCGTCGTTTGGTTAGATAGCATGGCACAATTCGAAAAGGAAATCGTCCAGGCGGTGCTCATAGCCGACAACAATGTATGGAACTTCAAGCCGCTTTCCGACGAAGGCTCTACGGTAGCTATTGGCCCATTTCCGCCTCGGAAAGTTTTATAGCGTGCCTCCTTTCTCTCCGCGCAGGCCCTGCTTCCCCTGGTCAACGTGAGCATGCTGGACTATGCATTGATAGCACTGAATCGCAGCGGAGTCGAGGAGGTCTTCGTCTATGCCAGCCTTTACCTCCAGGAAATACGCGACCACATCAAGTAAACAATCATTTAGTCACACTTTGTTCGACTCCGTTCAATATTTTATGTTCACAGGGCAGGGATTGCCACGTATGCCTCCTGGTCCTTCAAAATGACTGTACACATGATTGGGGGCGAGGGATGCCGCTGTTTCGGCGACGCCATGCGAGATCTCGACGCCAAGGCACTTATCCGGGGTAATTTCATCCTTATGGGCGCTGATACTGTCACCAATGCAGACCTACGGCCGGTTCTGGACCAGCATAAGCGGATGGCAAAGTTCGACAAGGGCACAGCTGCCACCCTGGTGTTCAAGGAGTGCGCAATTAATGCCCGCACCGGTAACGAGCTTCTCATTGCTGTCGATAAGCAAAATGCGCGCCTCCACTATCACCAGCGCCTGCGAATGAACCACAAGGAAGCGCGCTACCAGATTCCCCTTGACGTATTTCTTGGAAACTCTTGCGTCGCGCTGCATCACAACCTTCTGGACCCGCAAATCGCGATCGGCTCACCCTCGATGCTTTCGCTATTTAGTGACAACTTTGACTTCCAGACGCGCGACGACTTCGTGCGTGGTCTGCTCATCAACGAGGAGTTGCTGGACAGCCGCATCTACGTAGCCCTGCTGCCGGCCGCCCAGTACGCGCACAAAGTCAATAACTGGCCCTCCTACCAACTTGTAAGCCGGGACATCATCAACCGTTGGGCTTACCCACTCGTTCCTGACATGGGCGTCTACAAGTTGCACCAGCAGTACGTCTTTCACAAGGACAACATCTACAAAAGCCACGAGGCGCACGTGTCCAAGGTAGCGCTGCGTGAGAATGTGGTGATCCAGGCGGGCAGCCATGTGGAGGCAGGCACTGTAATCAGCGACACGGTCATTGGGGAAAACTGCCGCATCGGAAAGAACTGTCAGCTGAGCAATGTGTTCTTGATGGCCAACGTGACCATACAAGACAACTGCCGGCTGGAACACTGCGTGGTGGGATCCAGCGCCGTCATTGAAGCGGACTGCGATATCAGCGCCGGTTGCGTCGTGGGCGCCAAGTGCGTGCTCCCAAGAAAGACGAAGCTGGCCAAGACCCTGGTCACTAGCTCACCGAGCACACAACGCAGGGCGGAACAGGAGCAGGAACAGGATTACGAGGCAGTGGAGCTAGAGGCCATTGGACCGCAGGCCTACATCGTGAGCGACATCACCACGGGGGATCCCGACGACTCGGATGACGAGGAGCTGCTGCCCCAGCAGACGCTCTGCATACCCAAAATGGGTGACCTGATGGCGCCACTGGACGACATCAGCTACTGCAGCGACGTCAGCGACGACGACGATGAAGGGTCGCGAGCCGTCACGCCCCTACCCGACGACACCAACAGTGAGATGAGATGAGATGCACCTGAATGCACGTTGGGTCTAGATCTGAATTTAATTGTGTTTTCCCCAATTCTAGTTTTCCTAAGCGAGGTGATCGATTCGCTGTCCCGCGGCTTCAGGGAGAAGTCGAATCCGGACTTCCTCATATTGGAGATCAACTCCTCGCGCTATGCCTACAACATGTCCCTGAAGGAGGTTAACTTCAATGTGGTCAAGGCCGTGTTCGGTATGCAGTGCATCGTCGAGCCGGCTAACAACAATGTGCTGGTGGCCATCAGCGCCGCCTTCAAGCAGCTGGGACCCGTGGTCTCAAACTACATAAAGAGCGAGGAAGCCATGCTGGACTGCTTGAAAGCCCTAGAGGTGCGTCATCTGCGGATGAGGGTATGAGGGGCATTTGAATGATGAGTGATTGCTTTCAGGATGTGTACGAGGAGAATCCGCTGGTGCAGGAGAAGATCTCGCAGATTGTCCACTACCTATACGACAAGGACTTCGTGTCGGAGGATGCCATCCAGGCGTGGTATGCCCAACTCGGTGGCCAGGAGCATGCCCAGCTGCGCCAGAGCCTCGTCAAGCTGGTCGACTGGCTGAATCAGTCCAGCGAAGAGGATGACAACGACGAGGAAGAGGATTTCAGTGAATAAAGCAAAGACTGCCACTATTTTGTTACACCTTTTATTGCAACGCCTTCTCGATATTTTCCTCGGAGATATCTTGCTGATAGTCCCCTCTTACATTTGATTAACCTAGATCCAGACCATGAAATGGTCCATCGAAAAAAAGGAAACTAAAAAAGCGCGACAAATTAATCGCATTTGTTTTGGATTACGTCTCTACTTCGTCTCGTAAATGAATTCATCCTGGAAGTCGGAGTTCCCTTCCTCTAGGTTCAGCCGCTCAACGCCGACCATATCCGCCTCCTCCTCCTCATCCTCGGACTCCTTCACCGACTCGATGGTTATCTGGGAGTCGTCGGTGACAGCGGGATTCGGGGACTGTGCATCCTCTCGCTGCTGCTCTGCATTGTCTGTTTCGGCCTCGGAGTCAATTTTCTCGTCATCTTCGCCTTCTGCCTGCTGCCCTGCACTGTCCACGTCCATCCGCTCACGCTTGTCTTCCTGCAGCCGCTGCTTTGTCTCTTTTTCAGCTTCTGTGGTGTCATCAGCTTTACTATGTGCTAGTACCTTGCCAGAATCGTCTGCATCGACTGCCTTCTTTTTCTTATCCTCCTTCTCTTTGCACTTTGAGGTGTCGTCGGCATCAGCATCATTTTCCTCATCGGTCCCCTCCTCTTTGGGTGTCTTTGGCGACTTGACATCTTCGGCAGCCGCCCGGCTGAGCCTGCGCTTCTCGAGATTCCGAGTGATGTCCTGGGCAATGAACTCCAGCCGCAATTGGACACTCTTGTGGAACACATCCATGTTATCGGCGCTCACAAGGTTGGTGCGCACCTCCTCCATGCAGCCCTCGAGCACCTGCCTGACCTTGCCAACCGGGCAGTCTCCGCCGAGGTTCTGCGTGACTATCAGCAGCGTGGTTAGGTTCTTTAGCAGCGTCACCATGCGCTCGTTCTTCACAAGACCATTGTTCATGCCGTCTACCGTCCGGTTCGCCTTGGCCCGACACTCCTCGCGCAGGTACGTGGGCGAGATCATGGCCTGAACATTCGGATTTCGCGTCAGCGTAGAGGAGAGCTCCTGTACTTTGGTGAGCTCATACATGAGGTCGGTATTGATGCGCTCAATGGAGACGATGTTGTAGGCGTACTGGCGCTGGAAGTTGTCGGCGATCTGACGGCGGTGGCGTTCTCCGGCCTCGTCATGGCCCATCATGTCGTCGATGGCCAGCTCCGCGGTGGAGTTCATTTTGTTTAGGCGATTGATGCGCTCGGCCTTTACCGCGATATGCTTCTCCAAGTGGACAAGGTGCTCCAGCAGCTTGTTAGAGTACCTGTGAGCTCGTATCAGCTGCGGCCGTATCGGGCTCTCCCCGATGGCGTCCTGACCCAGCAGGGGATCACTCTTGTTTAGTTTCATGCTAAGAGCGTTCCTTGCCGCCGCATTATTGCTTGCCAGGTGCTTCTGAGGGCCGAAAAGTCCTGTGCCTGCCTTTCTCCCATTGGCGGAGGGACGCTTCTGGAGATAGCTACTGGAGAGGCTGGCCGTGTAGCCCAGGTTGGTGGTAAAGCCCAGGCTGTTGGTCTGGTAGATGCTCATCAGGTTAGGACGGAAGTCCTTGGTGAAGCTGTGCAGTGGCAGCATCTCGTGAAAGTTTTCCGACACTATCTCAAAGTCCGGTATGGCGTGGGTCCCCAGGCCGGGCCGCTCGAACGTTACCCGGTACGTGGCGTTGAGCGAGTCGTAGGCGGCGACAGTGCCGGAGAAGATGCCGTCTTGGGGGGTGCGCAGCCGAGCCGTCACCTTGGTGCCCAGCGGCAGTGGCATGGGGATCTTATCGGGCATATCCGACAGGAGAACGGAGTCCTTCAGCTCGCCCGGCTTGCGTGACTGGAGAGTGCGCATAAGCTTTCGTTTCCTGTCCAGCTCTTTGCGCTCCTCGTTGAAGAAGTTGGCTGAGCAGCGCCTAGGCTTTCCCATCTGGCGTCTGATGGTCGACCACTCGTGTCGGTTGAGCTGACGCGTTCCCAGGCGCGGGTCCAGCTCGTTCACGTGGTTCAGGAATTCGTCACGGCTGTCGAAAAGCGGCCTGTCTATGTACGAGTAGAACCACTCGGCGATGGCCCACTTGTGGGCCTTAGGCAGCTTCAGCAGGTTGCGCAGGCGGAGCCCGATCGCCTGGCCCACCCGTTTGTTGGCCGCCAACAGGGCCTGAGCCTGGCTAGCCTCCTCCTCAGCAGTGGCCGCGGCAGCAGCTGCGGCTGCCGAACCCTTGGTTCCTCCGGATGATGCACCGCTGCCCTTGCCCGACTTGTGGCCAGATAGGTTCGATTTGCCGGCGGACTGTGTCTGCCTGGCAGCCTGACCCTTGGCTGGCGTCTTCTTGTTCTTGTTGCCAGCTGCCGTCATCTGATGTTGGCTGCCGGCTGAGGTGGAGCTGGATCCATTGTCGCTGGAGCGCATGTAGCGCGAGACGACGCCCTTGCGCTTCTTGAGCACCTTGGCGGGGGCGGTGTGGGCCACTTTCCCTGAGCAGCCGCTGCCAGGTCTACCGGCGCCCAGGGGCGGGCGACCGGACACCTTCTTTGGGGCAAGGCTCATGCGTAACGGTTTGTCGTCGTTGATAATATTCTCGTCGTAAAAGAGCTTGTTTCTCTTGCGAATTCGGGCGGGCATTCCACGGGCATTCAGCGTTAGGATGGGAGCCTTCGTCACCTTGGGCTTGGGTGGTGGGGCGCTGCCCACGCGCTGCAGTCCTAGCGTGGCCAGGCTGAAGGCCGGCGGATCCACTTGCTCTTCCGGTTCGCTGTTCTCGTTGCTGTCCTGCTCATCGTCCTCGTCATGCTCCAGATCTGCTTCAGGCTCGGCTGTGGCGTCCCCCTCTTTTGTGTCGTCTTCGCCTGCATTCACATCGACATCACCAGCCCCGGCATCCTTTTTCTGCTCATTGTCGCTCTTGCTGTCATCGTCGTGATCCATTGGCTTAGCGGTGGCCTCCTCCTCGCTCGATTTCTTCCTTGCGGCAGCGGCAGCGGCTGTAGAAACGGCTGCTGCCTTCCTGCCCTTGCCTTTGGTAGCTTCTGCGACGGGCATTTTCACTGGGCGAATACAAGCTGCAAGGACCAGAGAAAACAGACAGTTGAAGATCTAGAAAACAACATTCAAGCTAATACTCCTACAAGTAGTGAGCCTACAGCCTACAGCCCAAGATTTCTTCTTACTTTTCCTGAAATCGGAACACTCGGCAGGCACGGCTGTCGACTCTCTGGGGCCGAGATACTTACACAAGTACGAGTATACTTTTATCAATTGTCGAGGGAGAGGGTAAACGTAAACAGTATTCGGGCAACAGTGCCAAAGGAAGGTCTGTTCGATCTATCTGATTATTCTTATTCTAGCCCGACTATAGCAAATGTTCTTTGGAAGCTTTGTGGTAAGGCGGTGGCAGTGTTCGTTCTGGGGTTGGGTTGTCTTCGGCAGTGGCTTTCTCCCACCGCTCGTACCTCCTATCACATGTTTTGCAGTGCGTTCACAGCAGGCAAAACGGCGCCGGATCGCTCTTGTGCGCTGTACTGTACCTGTAGCGGCAGCGCTGCAGTAGAACGCTCTCCTATGCCCAGAAGATAGGGCCGTGTCGACCACTGATCTAGCTTGACATCAAAGTCGCATTTTCTAATGAAGCTTGAAGCTTGAACCGGTTCGCGATGGTGTTCTCGTGAACTGGGGGTGAACCATTGCTCAAAAATATAGCCAGATCGGCGGACAAGAAAATATCTCATTGAATAAAACTAGCTCTGCCTTTGTTTGTTTAATTGTATATGTGTTTCGGACCCCATAATGTTTAGACATGTGTTCTGGATCATTATCAAAGCCGAGTCTATATACATAGGCATGTCTGTCTGTCCGCAAACTCTCTCTTTGGGTCTTACTTTACGCTCAGCACAACTGAGAGCCAACTTTGACGCCATGTTTGATGTGAGAGGAGACACAGACACAGATACAGATATATGGATGCCGTTTTGTTTGGTTTGTAAAATATTTAAACTCAACAGAAAAACGATGGAAAATGTATATTGTTAGCTTTTGAGACATATTCATCTATTAGATGCGGTCTATTTGAAATTGTTTTTTGGCATTGGAGTTTTGTGAACATCCGTAACATAGAGCTACTTGCAACAAGCAAACGAGTCGTACTGAGCAAAATAAGACCCGAAAAGAGGGCGCGTTTCGTTTGCGGACCACCTTGCATAATTTCATCATGGTCCGCCCTATTGTTTTATTTCTCAGACACTTTAAGATCTAGATGAACCAAATTTGCTGAGGCGAAACTACAGATTACTAAAAGATTCAAGAATTTGAAGCAGATCGGGTCACCGATTTCGATCCCCGTTAAATTACACTCTGAATCAAAAAATGTAGGCGAAAGTTGAAAAAGTATTACAGTTTCCAAGAGAGTTTTTCATATTTTGCATATTAAAAACGAGTATTTTACTGAATGTAAATTTTTTTAAATTTAGTGTAATTAAACTTGTAATCAACCGTGATTATTACGAAGAAAATAAGAGGTTAAATAACAAAATCCTGTGGAAAATATAGCCAGAATTAACAAAACCATTACCCATGGCAGATCCCCTGCTATGTGCTCGCTCTATGTATTTTCTCTCTCTCTCTCTTTCTTAACGAGAATTGATACAGATAGCCGGTATCTCCTATGTCCATGTCCTACCCGCCTTCACCAACTAATCAACCGGGACCTTTTGCGAATAGCGAACGATAATAACTCCTGATAAATATGTATATTTGATACACTGAATGAGTACCGGGTATGGGTACAGTCGCCCTGGGCCGCGACTCTCAAAGTACCATTTGGTTAACGATCGTTTTTCATTGAATTCAATTTAAAAAAATTATATAATAAAATTACGCCGATAAAACTGTAAAATCTTATAGAAAATGGAATAATTTAACGGATGAGCCGGATAGATTTTTCCTCAAAAATCACGATGGAAAAGATCTTTCTTATAGAAAATGGAATCATTTAACGGATGAACCGGATAGATTTTTCCTCAAAAATCATGATGGAAAAGCTCTTTCTTATAGAAAATGGAATCATTTAACGGATAAACCGGATTGATTTTTCCTCAAAAATCATGATGGAAAAGATCTTTCTTATAGAAAATGGAATCATTTAACGGATAAACCGGATTGATTTTTCCTCAAAAATCATGATGGAAAAGATCTTTCTTGTAGAAAATGGAATCGTTTAACGGATGAACCGGATAGATTTTTCCTCAAAAATCATGATGGAAAAGCTCTTTCTTATAGAAAATGGAATCATTTAACGGATAAACCGGATTGATTTTTCCTCAAAAATCACGATGGAAGAGCTCTCAGGACAGCAGTAACCTTCAATTCCATTGCTGTTATACTCAAGTTCATGGATCTACAAGTGTATGTCCTAGCGCTCTGCATAAACGGACAACCGAATCAGCGATTCAGCTTTCTCATAACTTCGAATAGCTCGGCCAAAACGGACCAAATAAAGCGAATCCCGAATCGACTCGGTTCTTTTCTCGCTCACTCTCTACTTGATTATCTGGTAGATAGAACGATAAAGCAGCATACAAAATGCTGTTTTTTTTTGATTCGCCCTCGGCCTGAGGGCCTTTGTTCGACTGTGGGTGCGTCATGGGTGGGTGCAGAGTACACAACATTTTTGTGCATGCACGATACCGATTTCCGTGTGTGCAATATGTCCACGCATACACAAAGGGATTTCTCCGCATACGAACGAAAGTCTTTAGTGATTCGGGGTGATTCGAATCCGACTGAAGGCAGGATCGAATAAAGATCGAACGCACTAAAGGGGCATAAGTAAAGCTGTGATTCTATGAATACTGTGGCTTCATGCAGGTCTCAAGTATTTATTTACATTGGGGTTGCGCTTATTTAAACAATGTTTAGAGGTTTGAGACCTTATCTTTCGACGCATTTTCTTCGCGCACACAAATAAGCGGAACCCTAATGTACATACTATGTACTCGCGAATAACGGTTGACGCTTTCGTGGTGTCTTGTCTGAACCGAAAAGGGAGAGAAAATTCGCTCCGTTATTGTTTTTGTGATTGTGGTGCTTGTGGTCACGATATTTATAAAGTTATACGAGAGATCTGTGCACATAGAAGAGATAAGCACCGCCACTTGCCCATGTGAATGGTATGCCCTTCTTGTCGGTTCTGCAGAAGGTCAAGGGAATGATTGGAATATTAACGGTTTCCTCATGTTTGACTTTATTTGCTGTATGCTGCGGTACATAATTGGTTTAGTTGCTTCATTTCGTTTCGTTTCGTTTCATTTTGTTGCGTAATACTTTGATTGAAGGACCTCGTATGTAACTATGCATATGTGCATACATGTAGTGTAGTTCGTAGGTGAAGCACATACAATATTTGCAAATACAATACATTCATTCACAATACAATTCGATACACATGCAACATGGACGCTTGCGTGTGTTTCAGGTATTAGATACATAAAGATGCGTACATTGCAATTTCCATTCTATAATAACGTACATATCGTATGTTTTTAGGATAAATAGTTTCTCGGATACATTTCGCGCTCGGCAAGCGGTTGGTTCCTCGCTCAACACTCGACACTCCATGCTTATCCGCCTTCTCCGAGCTTCAGAATAAATGATGCACGTGTGTGGGTGTTCTTGTTTACACAGAATTATCTGTACAGTTTCCGCAGAACGAAACAAAAACAACGAGTTCTTACATGGATACGCCTGGCGCCTAGGCCGAGTTACATCGAAAAACAAAGTAATTATAATAATAGTAGTTACAATTAGGATAGCAATAGAAAAAAAAAACACTTGGCTCTATTTTCTAGTTATTTAGTGGGTTTGTTTGCCTTTTGCTTTTCTTTCTTTTGTAACTTTTTGTAACGTTTTGCAATACATCTGTTTAGGTTCTTTAGATATATATATATATAACAATACATTATGTATAACAAATATGGATAATAATAGTAATAATAGTAGCATACAATAGTAGTAATAATATTAATAATAATAATAATAGTTTGTAATCATAATAACAGCTTTTCGTTCTTTGTTTTACAAGGTTTTCCTCTTTCTGTGGTTGTTGATGATGTTGTGGTTGTTTTTGCTTGCTTTTTGTATACACATGCCTGTAGGTCGGAACGGTAGTATGTACTATAGTAATTATTGGCGACTGTTAATATTTGGATATAGGTAATATTTTCTCTGTAGGTAGGTTACAACGACAAACAGGAACAGAAACTGCAACTGCAACTGCAACTGGAACTGGAACAGGAGGTAAAACGCGTGCTGTGCACGAGCGGCGAATCGGTAAAATATATGTAGCTCTAGGAATAAAATTAGCAGGGGATACTGGGGCATACAGGTGGATGCACGGATTCACTGCCGTATTGGGGGAACACCTGGCGTACTGCCGTGCCGCAACAGTGGAAGGTACGATACGTTAAAATCGTCTAATACATACATTAAAATACATAAAGATACAGAATATATAGATAGAATATACATACACATATTGTAGGATATATAAATAAATAACAAAATTAATTTGTGAGTCGCATCGATCGCAATGATTTTGTTTCCCTTTTCCTTATCCTTTTGCTTTTCCTTTTGCTGCCGCTTCTTTTCGCGCCTTTCCTGGCTTCGTTTGCAGAAACATAATCCTTAGATAAATTGGCTTCGTTTTCATTCATAATAATTATTGTTGTGTAGTTTCGTATCGCCGTCGCTTTTGAAGCCCGCGTTGATTGCCTGCTAAAATACATTCGTTCCTCCTGCCCTAGAGATTGCGTCCTTAGACATTGAACCGCGTCTCGGAGCCGTCAGCCAACATGAGGGTCACCGTACGATTATTGATCCAGACAAGCTTGGCCAGCCGCATGGGGTTGAGTCGCGAAACGTCCGGAATGGGGGCCGTGGAGTAGCCCTTGGTGCAACGCGTCTGCGACTGTCCCAGCCCGAACATGCCGGTGCTCGTCTGCCAGAAGGAGAGCCGGTTCTCGGCGCACGAGTACGAGACGAGATACTTGCCGTCGGGCGAAAAGGCCAGGGAGGTGATGGGGTGCGTGTGAGCGGGGATCATCTGGCACTTGTTCTGACGCAGCTCGTAGATGGCCAGGTTGCCGCTGTTGGCGCCGACGGCGATGCGGCGGGTCTGAGAGCAATGGGAGATCTGGTTGAACTTGCAGATCGGCGGGCAGAGCTCGGCCAGGCCGCGGACCTTCAGCTCGTTGCTGTCCACGCAGTGCAGCGCGATGTCCATGACCTCCACCAGCAGGCTGGCGATCTCCGACTGCATCTTGTCGATCAGCATCTCCACGCACTGCAGGATCTCGCCCTTGGCCTTGTACAGGACTGACTGCGTCAGGGGCGCGTTGATGGACTGCGCGTTCTGTTGCATCGTGTTGTACCTGGCCACCTCGCGGGCCATGGTGGTGATGAAGGCCGCCGGTCGGGCGGTGGCTATCAGGCGCAGGGCATGCCGGGCCGTGCGGCAGGCGTCCGCCTGTGGCGTCAGCGGAAGCTTGTAGTTCAGATTGGGCACCGCTTTGCCCTCGCACGAGATCTCCAGCAGGCCGAGCAGCACCTTGGACACGTCCAGGTAGGGCTCCCACACCGTGAAGCCCCTGCCCAGCAGGTCGATGGCCGCTCGCCGCAGCGGCGTGTACTGGGGCAGCTTGGGCGAGGGCGGCGCATACAGCAGGTGGGCCAGGGCCATCGAGGTGAGCCTGGCCAGGTTATTGGCTATGCCGAAGCCCTCCACCACGGACGATATGCGGCGCTCTCCGCTCTGTCCGGTCGCCCCAGTGGCGAGGCTGATGCTCCCGCGGTGGTTGGGCGACTCTTGTGAGATGTCCTGCCCGAACTCTGCCCCGATCACGCCCAGCAGGATGACGGCCGTGGTTTGCTTGCGTTTCAGCTCCGACAGACTAGACGGCTTGCGTATGATCTCCTCCTCCTCCTCCTCGTAGTCCTCGTCATGGTGCTGTTCCGCGCCGGGAATTCCTCCCGCCCCGGCACCCGCAGCTGAGCCACTAATTGAGTGGGTGCCGTTGCTGCTGCCGCCGCCTCCAGCCCCGACGCTGGCATGGGATCCGCTCGAGCTCTGGCTGAGGAGCACCAGCTGCTGCTGGGCCCCCACGATGGGCTCGGTGTGGGTGTAGAGGGGCAGGTACTGAGCCCAGCTTTCGACTAGCTGCTTTCGCCCCTTCTTGCCCATGCGGGTGAGCTCCCCGAGCAGGATCTGCTGGGCAGCCTCGCGGATTTCGATGCAGTGGTGCTGCCATCGCTTCACCATCATCTCCACCTGGGGTCGCTTGAACTTCTTCGGCTCGAGGGCCTCGATTTTGTCGGGCAACAGGAAGCAGTGGTGGGTGGCCAGGAGGCTCCAGGCATGCTTGATCTGTGAAATGTGGTGGGCGAGGATCTCCTCGCGCTCCTCCTCGTTGCTCAGCGTGGAGTCGGTCCGCTGGGCCAGGCGCTGCAGCTTCTTGTGCTTCTCGCTGTCCGGCAGGAAAGAGGCGGCGCTCATCGACAGCAGCGTGTTCGACATGGCTACCAGCGCCAGGATGTGGTTAGTCGTCAGCGTGGTGCTCAGCTCCCAGTGGAGGCGTGAAGTGAATATGGCGGTCAGGTGCTCCAGGCGCTGCAGCTCCTCCGGAAGCGGGCGCTTCTTCGAGCTGGAGGGCAGCTGGAGGCCCGGCGGAATGTCGTAGTTGTTCTGCCAAGTGGGCAGCAACAGGGACATGTAGCCCGCCTTGGAGAGCACCCCGTACGAGATGGGCACGATGGGACGGAGCAGGCCCAGCCGCGTCTCACACATCTTGTCCAGGTGCGGGTCCAGGCCCCACGAGTGGAGCAGCGAGAGGAGCAGCTGGGCCACCTCCATCACGTGGGTGACCTCCATCTTGGAGGCGATCTTGCTCTTCAGGTCCTGCTGCTCCTCGTGCGACTCCACCGCCTTCTGCAAGCTCTCCACCTTGGCCTGAACCTTCTTCTCCACGATCTCCGTCTTCTCCTTGAACTTCTGGACGAGTCCGTGCTTGTCCTTGTCCTTCAGGATCTTCTCCACGTCGACGGCCTTGTTCTTCACCTTGTTGAAGAAGTCCCCAATCTTCTTGCTCGCGTCCAGGTGCATCGACTTGCCATCCTTCGGGTTCTGCAGGTGCACCCCCAGCGCCTCCAAGGTGGCCGGCGTCATCTGGGCGTACTCCTCGCTGTGCAGCTCGAAGATCAGTCCCTCGATGTCGAAAAACAGGATGTGGCTCTCGGCGTCCTTGGGGTTGGTGCGCAGTCCCTGGATCACCAGTGGATTGCTGCGGTGCTTCATGAGGAAGTCAAAGTTCCCTTGGTTGTGGCCCTGCAGCTGCTGGAGCTGGGTGATCCCGCGCTGGGTGGCGTGGCGGATGGCGTTCATGTTCCTCGACTTGAGGCCGCGGAAGAAGTGAACCGCCGGATTGGCCATCCCCATTTCGCTGGTCGAGGCGCCGCTCACCCCCGAGGAGCCACCACCGACCCCGTCCTCGCCTGCCTGCTCGTCGCAGGCGGAGAGCACCTCTTCGGCCAGCATTCCGTGGAGCACCCGGTCCAGGTGGCCGGTTTCCATCTGCCACACGTAGACGGAGCCGTCCGAGCAGCCCACGATGAGGAAGTCGTCCAGTGGACGCCACTTGATGGTCACCACGGGGAACAGGTGGCGACTGGCCAGGGTAACGCACTTGCGCTCCTGCAGGGACACAAGAGTCACCGAGTGGTCCGAGGCGACCGAGCAGATGCACTTGAGGATCCGCGGGCTGCAGCTTTCCGGCGGCACAAGCAGCTGGGTGATCTCCCCCGCGTGCACGCAGAAGCGGTGCAGCATGCTGCCGCTGTACAGGTCCCAGAGGCAGACGGCAAAGTCGATGCCGCCGGACAGCAGGTGCGACTTCTCGTACCGCGAGTGGATCATGGAGGGACAGAGCAGGCAGTTCACCCTGCCGCGGTGCCCGTAGAGGATCTGGTGCGACGGCCAGTCGCTGAAGTTCTGCTTGATGCCAACCAGCAGCTGCATCATCACCGTCTGGGTGGCGGGGACGATTACAATGCTGCCATCCTCGCGCCCGATGACCAGCCGACTCTGTTGCGGCAAGTATATGCTCGAGGTGAGTTTAACCGGGGACTCGGTGATCCTCGACAGCTGATCCAGTATCCCCACGGGCGGCGGATCCATAATGGACCAGGCCTCTACCAGAGAAGTGCACACGTGTGGCTTGAGGACGCGCGGCGGCATCTGCTTGGCCTGCAGTATGCTGATGTTGTCCAGCGGTACCTCCGGCACATTCCACACCGAGATGTACCCCTCAGAGTCGCCGCGCAGCAGGTTGTGCTGTCCGCCACTGCCGTTGGCATTTCCATTGCCTATTGCGTTGCTTCCGGCCAGCAGCAGTTTCATGGCTGGTGGACAGGAGAGTACCTTGTCGCCGGCATGCTGGAGCACGTAGTACAGGTAGGGGGCGTCCCGGACGACGCTCTTCGAGTGGAACTCCTTGTTGTCGGGGATGCAGTTGGCGGGCAACCTGTACAGGTAGCCCTTGCCCTCGTCCGTCCAGAGCATGACGCGGTCAGATGTGATGAAGTCGCCGCCCTGCCAGCGCTCGCGGGCCGGCGCGATCACGGAGCAGAGAACGGTGAAGTCCCCGGCGTCGTAGATCTGCCAGTACTTTGTGCACACCAAGAGCACAGTGCGCTGGTTCTGGGCACAGCAGTTCATGGTTATGGCGTTGAGGCAGCGGATCTCCTTCGACTCGTTCTCGTAGATGGGCTCCGCGTGCTTGTTCTCGTTCCCCGTCAGAGTCCACACCTTCACTGTGCCCGTGGTGGTGATGGCCAGGACCACGTCGTCCTTGCGCCGCATGGGCCGGAGCACGTGGATGGCCGAGATCCAGTCTGGCTTCACCTTGGAGCTAAGCACGTAGATTACTTCCAGGCTGAACGGGTCCATCACCATGATCTCGGCGTAATAGCCGATGCAGAACAGACGAATATCCTCGCTATTGGCCGTGTGATAGCTCTGGATCTGTGTGTGCACCTGCGGCAGCTTGACTGCCTCCATGCACTTGCCGTCGATGAGGTCCCAGGTGCACATCTCGCCGTTCTCCGAGGAGCTCACCAGGAAGTTGTTTTCGGGCAGCAGCGAGGCCCGCACCAGGCAGAGCACCGGAGCCGAGTGGCCCACCAGCAGGCAGCGGGGCGACATCTTCAGTGTGCTGGGCTCCACCTGCCAGAGGCAAATCTGTCCGTCGTAGCAGCCGGTGACCAGGGTGCACTGGTCGTCCGAAAGAAACACACTGGAGATGCAGTGCGTGGGCGCCGTGGGTCCCCACAGCACCACCGGCACCACCAGATTGGTACTCACCATGGTGACTCCCACACCACCCTTACCCTTGGTCCTGTTCCCCAATCACTCCTTACTGCCTCCTCCTTGCGCTTCTCTTGCGGGGCTGCTCTGGGCTCTGCAAGAAGTATTCTTAAGTTAACATTTGCTCGACCTCGAGTGCGCGCCTGTGTATGTGTGAGCAGTGCCTGGTCGTACAGAGGGAGCTGCAAACATTGCAATTGCGGGGGCAGGCTTGCATAACCGTCAACTGTTGGCGGAACAGCACGGACATACAACTAAAAGTCCCGAGCAGGGAGTGCCTAGAAGTGCCTCTCCTTTCCGTTCCATTCGTAACATGAATCCGAGTCGAGATCTACTACTGACGGTGTCCACTCTTCTGTGCACATTCCGAGATAACAGTTAACGTGAACAGGTGACTGTGGTAGTGAGTGGCTGTTGGGTTATCGGAATCGAATCGAATCAGCTCTCCCCCCCGGTCATACTCCCACTGGTTCCTCCACTCATTCACGCATTTGTGCTCTGCTCATGTGTAGTTTGCTGCTGCCAGCTGTTACTGTACTTTGTGCCTGGCCACTGGAATGGCAAAGATAAACAAGAGATTCGAGCCGATCCAACTGGGGTTATACAATAGCAATAGCAATAGCAATAGCAATAACATTGGAGACGGGAGCAGACACGGGCTGGGGCACGGGCTGGGGCAGGGGCAACCTTGGATCCGCAGTCACTTTTAAGGACGGACGACCGGAATGGCAGGGAATGCATTAGCATGGAAACTGATCGGATCGGGGCTGTCAGCAATTGAGGCACGATAAATTAATTGAGCAGACGAGACTATTTGGCATCGCCGCAACCCAAACCAAACGGATTGCTGCTGGCTGTCTGTATGTCTCTCTGGCCTACACACACACACATACTCATTCGCCTAGAGTCCAATCGCACACACAACTACGCAGAAAATGGGCACTAGACGCACACACACACACGGGCGCACACACATTGGCCAATGCGCCAACAACAATAATTGTAGATATGTATGTAACTTAGAATTTCGCTAACATTTCTCTGGTGTGTTTTCCGTATTGGGGTGGCGCGTGATTCCCTTCCCGATTCCCGATAGCTGTGGTATAGCTACTCAATCGCTTTGATTGCTTGGGTTTGTTGATTGGGAATATTGATTGATCCTGATCCGCATCCGCATCCGTGTGCTGTTTTTTCGGTCTCGTGCTTTTTCTCCGGCTGCTGCTGCTGTTGCTGCATTCCAAGTTGTGCGTATAAGAGAGGAGCGAACTTCAATGTCGTCGTCGTCGCTGTCGTCCCACGATTCTAATTCATATGCACACTTCCCCTCGTACGTGCTGCTGATGGCTAACAATTACAACACACACGTTGATATTGCTTTTGCTTCTGCGGCTGTTATTGTTGTTGCTACTTCTGTTTTTGTTATTGCTGACAATTTTTCATATTATGCATATTTCCATTTTGTTTTTGATTCGTCCGAACTGTTGCTCTCTCGTACAAGTTTGAATGGCACTACTAATGGTCGATACACACGCACTCAAACAATTGATTTTAGCAATTGATTTTTTATACTTTCTTATACATATTTCCCTTTTTTGTACGACTGAGGCAGAAGAAAAAAAAGCAACGAAAATATCTTATCGACCGTGGGGTAAGATTTTCGATAAGTTTTAGTGTTGCCACACTTCCGAATCGATTACTGCGACACCAGCGTGCGAAGGGGCGACAACCCTGCTTCAAAAATTTAATATTTTACTTCAATTGTTTATAATTTGATGGTTTTCGCGACACTTTCTATAAATTATGGGACAATATATGACTAAGATAATTTTGAACGCAATCGCGAAATCTTTCATAGCATTTGGGCCATTTTAAACACGAGCCCACATGGAGTGGGCGACTATGTTGTTACTTTTGGCCCAACGGACAACACTTTACACACAATTGCATTTTGCACAATGCACTGCCTATTGAAGCACAAATCATTTCAAAGCGTCCAGAGATAAGTCCATAGGCTTTGATCTGGTTTTAATAATCACTCGCAGGATATGTTTAGTAAAAATAAACATTAAAAAAATAGCTCGGCACACAGGCAGAAAGTGGTCCAGTTGTTTGCAGGACAAACAATTGCTTAAATCGAATCATATTGAACAATCTAACAAGGTATAGTTAAATATATAAGTGCTATATTGGTTTACTTACTACTTTATATAGTTTTTGCAATTTTTTTGTACTTTAATTCCCCTTTATTTTGAATTTACAACACAATTCGTAAAGAACACACACTTTTGAATGGCCAGCAGAGAAATAAAAATTTGTGCTGCCAACTTGTCGCAAAGAAAAGGCGCGAGTGTCGCGCAGTAGTAAAAAATATATCGATTAAAAAATTTGAATAATCTACACTGTAAACGTTGATTTAATTAAAAACACGGATTTTCGCATCTATTTGGTGATGTATGTTTTGTTAAAATATTAAATTCTTGCAGAGGTAGCCCGGCCGATAGTTTTAGAGTATCAACAGCTGTTGATACCCTTATGACAGCCATATCTGTTTGTTGGTAGAGTTCGTCATCCCTCTGCCGAGATATAAAATTAAGAAATACCTGGGTGGTAGAAACGTATTTACTATAAGCTGGAGTTATGTTTGAATCAATTTAGAGTGACAAAGTGAGACAACGGATGTAAATGCATCGTGCATAGATGTATACAGAATCGAAAGAGTATCTGTCCGTGGTTTGAATAAAAAAGTTTTCATTGTTTTTGTTTTGCCACAACGTAGACAGAGCCGCATCCACATCATACGGCCGCCTCATGACTCTGGCTATAGCAAATTGAGAATGCTCATAATTGGATTAGTGCTATTCATTGACTGACCGATTAATGCCTCAGCCTGGTGAAATATGCAAAAAGTCGGCAATAACCTGTACGTGATATGCCATTTGTGGATGTTCCTCGGTCTGCTGGCTCAGGGAATCTCACAGAAGCACTACACACGGGCGCGCATGTTGGAGCTGCGGTAAGTAGCTTGTATTGGCATCAAAACGTTCAACACTTTACCATCCTCATGCTACTCCCCTAGAGAGGATGTTCGGCGTATGTTCCAGCACGCTTACGACGGCTATCTGACGCACGCCTCCAACTATGACGAGCTACGCCCACTCACCTGCGACGGCCACGACACCTGGGGCAGCTATTCGCTTACGCTAATCGATGCCTTGGACACATTGGCCACTATGGGCAACTTCACCGAGTTTCAGCGAGTCTTCACTCTGCTCACAAAAAAGATGAACTTCGACCGGGACATCAACGTGTCCGTCTTCGAGACTAACATCCGTATCGTGGGTGGTCTGCTGTCCGCCCATCTGCTGTCGCGTCGCGCTGGCGTCGCGCCGGAGCCGGGCTGGCCCTGCCAGGGTCCATTGCTGCGCATGGCCGAGGACGTGGCCCGACGCCTGCTGCCGGCCTTTGACACCAACACGGGCATGCCCTACGGCACGGTGAATCTCCGCTACGGTGTTCCCAAGGGCGAGACTCCAGTGACTTGCACAGCCGGTGTGGGCACCTTTCTCGTCGAGTTCGGCACGCTGAGCCGCCTAACCGGCAACAAAATCTACGAGGAGGTGGCGCTGCAGGCCGTGTACGCCCTCTGGGAGCATCGATCACCCATCGGCCTATTCGGCAATCACATTGACGTGCAGAGCGGCCGCTGGACAGCCCTCGACTCGGGCATCGGCGCGGGCGTCGACTCCCTATTCGAGTATCTGGTAAAGGCCGCTATACTGCTCAACCGGCCGGAGCTTCTCGAGCTCTTTCACGAGGCGCGAGCCGCCATCGACAAGTACATGCGCAAGGAGGACTGGTACGTGTGGGTAGGCATGAACAAGGGCCACGTCACTCTGCCAGTCTTCCAGTCGCTCGAGGCCTTCTGGCCCGGCATCCTCAGCATCATCGGCGACACAGAGCCGGCCATGCGCACCATCGTACGCTACATCAGCGTGTGGAAGAAGTACGGGTTTTTGCCCGAGTTCTACAACATTGCCGCCGGCGAGGCGTCCCCTGATCGCGAGGTCTACCCCCTCCGCCCGGAGCTAATTGAGTCGGCAATGTATCTGTATCGATCCACCAAGAACGAGTACCTGCTCGAGCTTGGAGAGCGGGTACTGGAATCGCTCGAGTTCAGTGCCAAGACCAAGTGTGGGTATGCAACGGTAAGCATAACTCAAAGCTGATTCTTCCCGTCGATTATTTTCGCTCTTCTGGCAGATTCGCAATGTGCTGACGCATGAGAAGGAGAACCGGATGGAGTCGTTCTTCCTGGCTGAGACGAGCAAGTACCTGTATTTGCTCTTTGACAGTGACAACTTTCTGCACAGCGACGGGGCCCAAGGTGAGCTGGTAGAAACGGAGGAGAACGCGTGCGTCGTACAGGCGGGCGCCTACATTTTCAACACTGAGGCACACCCCATGGACATGTCGGCCCTGCACTGCTGCCACGACCACAATGAGGATATATTCGGCTCCCTGGACCTGCAGCGACTCAGCGCCAATGCGATCTTCAAGCGCAGTCGCGAGCAGCAATTGGTCGAACAAGAGCACTGGGTGCCTCAGTGCCAGTCGCAGGACTTTCCCAACTACGATGCGGAGCCGATCCCCGATCGAGACCGGGATCGGGATAGGGACCAGGAAAAGGGCAAACACTCCACCACCATGGCCGTAGACATCGAGGTTTTCGACGAGTTTGAACAACCGGTGGGGGATGTGCTGGTGAGCAACTTCGAGCGTATACGAGAGGAGCGTGAACTCAACCAAAGCCTGTTGCAGATCAAGGTGCTGCGGAACCAGCTGACCGTCAGCGACCTAGATGAGTTCTTTGCCCGCCGCCGAGAGAACTTTGCTAGCGCCACCGACGCCCTCAACTATGTGCTGGCCTTCATGGGCAAGTTTACGATGGATGTGGCATTCATCCGGGGCCTGCAGCTGTACGACAGCAACATCAGCAACTTCCTCGGAGCGGGTGCTCAGAAGGAGTATGAGGAGCGCATGCGGTCCTTGTGGGAGCTGTACGATCTGGAGCAGCAGTACGCGGCCAACGTCCTACTCATTCAGCACCTCCAGCTGCTTAGCTTCCAGACCGACGGCGAGGTGATGCGCACTCATCTGGCCGAGGTCCTAGACAGTCTTGATCGGCAGCAGGATCCTCTGCACACTCAGTTGGAGATTGCCGCCTTGGCGGACTCCTTCTCGCATGCGAACTCAACTCCGCAAGTAGGCGACATCGACCAAGCTATCCTCAAGGCCTGCGTCGGCTACGAGATAGCCCTGATGAACACCACCGCCATGCAGGCGTTTGTACATCGCATCTACCTCATGGGCACCAAAGAGGCGGCGCCCAGCTTTTCCCCACTGCTCGATCCTGTCGAGCTAGGCACCCTGAAGGTCGTCCAACTGAAGCCCCCCGAACAGCGAGAGCTATTCAAGTACACGCGGCGCCTCGTGACTTTCCGGAAGCGGATGTCCGAGACGGTGGACCGCCTGCAAACCCTCATGCAAAAATTGACGCCGACCAAGGAGAAGGCCGTGGCTGTGGCGACAGCAACTGCTCAGCCGGCTGTTGTCCCAGCGGAGGCTCAGCCAGCCCCTAACACTAACACTGAAGTCAGGGAAAAGGCTGTGCAGCCCGAGCTGAAGCAGCAGAAGGAATCGGAGGAGCAAGTGGTGGATTCTGAGGAGGGATCGGTGTGGTCACAGTTTGTGCAGACCATACTGCGTAAGACCACTGTGCAACGCGTGAAGTTCGACGAGGCGCTGCTGCAGGAGAAGACCCGCAAGGCGCTGGAAAAGCACTCCCACGACGAGAACCCCCGCGAGCTTTTCACCTGTCAGCGCCCCGAGTTTATCGAACAGTTTGCGTACCGAGAGTTCTACCCCGTGACGTAGTAGGGAGCTGCCTAGTCATCGTCCTGGACATTCACCACGAAAACTAAACACGACTGATCTGTAGATATGTATTTACTTAGTTAGAAGGTATTCACATCTGAACATCTGAATAGTTATGTTATCAACTCAACTCAACGCGTATCTATTGGATATATAGATATGCTGTCTGCCTATAATCTGCGACTGCATAGATAAATTCCTTAATTCCATTCCTGTTTAGTTTTCACAATAAGATTGATAAGATCATTAATAACATGGGAGGGCTCTGTTCAAGGATTGAATGATTGATGAAATTTTGTATTTTCCACTCAGGCTGATCCCCTCTAGACTCAACTAAATTCTAGTTTAAATTGAATTCGGTTAAATTTTAAAGAAAAACGTGCGAGTGCTTTGAGCGTTCTAAGGATCTTTGGTTTAAAATTGGTAAATGTTGCTTTTGGAATCTGTATATAGGGAAATGGCTGAGGCTACAACCAATTTGTTAGCGAACTTTCGAATAATTTCGGATGTTGATGCTATTCAGAATTTTAAATTGGGATTAAAAACTCATATTGGTACACCTAACGTAGAAGTGGTTTGTTTTTAAAATGAGTAGCAACTTGTAGGATGTTAACGTCGAACCAAAATTGAAAGGGATTTCCAGTAAGGGTTTTCTCAATAGTTTTAATAGGGTACATTCCTGCTCCCTTAAGCAGGGAGATGAGATGATGAGGATGCTCTTCCTTCTTTATTTCCTTTATTCTTTTGTCAGTTCATTTATCATAATGAATACTTGTCATTTTTGCTTCTGTTAATCACCAAAAACAAGGTTTGTAAATGCTTACATACAATATGTACATAAATTCATAAAAGTATTCGGAAATCGTGTATGCGTGTTGACTATTTGCATTGACTGTTGTCGGCTGTATTGTAATTAAATTGATTTATACCTGTATTTATGCATTCAATTAGATTCGATTATCTAATATTGGCGACATTCAAGAGGCCCAGGAAAGGAGTAGTGTGGTCGATTGCGCAACAGAGCCATGGGGCAGAGGTTGCGAGTGTGTGTTCCGGCTCAGGCTGCGCCTGCGATTGCCTAAACACGCAATGGTAATCATTTCAATGGGTTTATTTTCGGAAATTCCTTTTACTTCAAGGATTCGGTTTGGCTTGTACCAAATTACGCCAATGACATGATATGAACTGGAAACGAAGTTGAAGTGAAAGTTTTTGAAGGGAATGGAATGCTGGGAGTGAAAAAGTAAACCGAAACTATGCTATGCTATGGCTGGCAGGCCCTGCAGTGGCCTCTGACGTCGACGGAACTGTGATTGTGGGTCACACCCTCCACACCCTACTGCCGCAACTGCTTGCGGCTCGGCGCGGCTCCTTTTGTGTGTGCGTTGTATGTCGTGGATGGCGGGGAGTGAGGAGACGTGGGGATGCGTGTGTAGTATTGGAAGCATTGCCTGCCATCCGGCAACAACAGCTACAATGGCGAAAGTTTAATGAGTGCAATTTTTTGTAAATGAAAGAAAAATGAAATGAGCAGACAGACGGACGAACGTACTGATAGACGTGTTTTTGCAGTGAATCAAGTAAGACCGACGAACAAGTCATACGGAGGAAACACGCGACGGGGTGCAGACGGTGTCGCAGAGTCGGTTCGGCGTCGAGTACAACTTTGTTGAGAGAATTGAGAGGCAATCAGGATGAGGTCCAGCGGCGCAGCACCGGAGAATGGCGATGGCGAGGAGGACGGAGAAAGTGGGCAGGACCACCATGAGGGCGATCCGCGTCCGTTGCCGTACGACTTTGAACAGGAGCTGATCAGAAAGTCCAACAGGCATATACGCCTCTACGAAGCCTTCGTTCCGGTTAGCAAAGGTGCCTTGACAGACGTTTTGATCTCCTCATTTGTTCCACCTGCTCCTCATCCTTAGAGTATATGCTGACTCGCAAGTTCTACGCCGAGTACGAGCAGCGAAAGCCGGCGCAGCCCCTGCGCTTCCTGCGCTACACCCAACCGGAGAGAATGCTGGAGCGGCAGAGGCAGCTGGGCTTGGGGACACCGCTGCTGGAATCGCAAATGTATGGCTGGCTGCCGATACAGGGTCGAAAGTGTGCCCTAGAGCTCAATTTCCTGCATGCCCCAAAACTGCGCTGCAGCATGACGATCCATGGCGAAAACTTGATGGCGGAGCGCATCACGGAGCGTCCTGCATTCAATGGACTGCGGTTTTTGCTTCATTAGAAACGCAAAGAATTTGAAATGGAAATCGCCATAGTGTGGCAACACTGAGCAATCGAGCTTACAAGCCAGTTGGCAGCCCAATCAATGTTTACGTTCTGCGTTCATTTTTTGCAATTGAATATCAGAAATACAGTTTCGAATATTAGCGACGTTGTACGTGCCACAAGTTTTTTTTATTTGGAATAAGTATAGCCTGGGTCGCTACAGTAAAATATCATCCACGTTCGGCTGGAGTCACACAAAATGGTATAAGATGGGCAGCTCAAAGGAAAAGTGGTGGGCAGCGGAGCCAAAGTTCACGTTCGATGGATCATTTCAGCCTCCGCTTAATGAGTTTATTTCCATGCACACTAATACATATGTACACATGCATTTTTGTATAGGCTCATTCGAATAAGGCAAAGAAGGAAGCGAAAGCGGCGAATTTGCAGAAACCAGCGACGAATACTAAGAATCCCAGCAACCCGCCAAATAATGCCCAGCCCAATGTGCATGCCCCCAGTCAGGATCAATTCCATGAACTCCTACTCAACACCGTGCAAAAGTCATGTAAGTCGTAGCTAGCCGTTTCCAGTCCAATTTGTTAACTCTGACTACCCCTTTTGGGACTTTCAGGGTTGCGGCTTCGGCATTTTGTTATGTCCGAGCTAAGTGGAAGCGAGCTGTTGGAAGCTGCGGCGGTATGGTGCGCCCGTAATCCTCACATTGCCATCTGTTTGCTGGCAGCTAGCTTGGTATTTCTTCTACCGTTCCTGATCATTTTCGGCTTCGGAATCGCCACCATGGTGATGACTTTTACGGGCCTCTTGGTGCTAGAAGGTAAGAAGCCCGAGCTTGTGGATGATTTTTTTTACTAAACTTCCACTTGTTCCAGGCACTCTTCTCACTATTGTCTCTATGATGTTCTTTGCATGTCTGGGTGGCTTTGCTATCATTGTTCCGGTGATTGGAGTTGTTACTGTTGGTGTATACTTTGGATTCGCTCAGGTGTATGGCTTATATGACGGAAAGGAGCGCCGCAAGACTGCAGTTAGGTTAGTCAAAGATCCGCCCAAGCCATGTGACTTGGTGCCGGCATCAAAGACAACTTCTGAAGAGCCAGCTGTCAACAAAATAACTAACTAAAGAATGGAAGCCTAGTTATCTAGTTTGTGAAATTAACTATTTACTGTACACTACCTAAATAATTACAATAAACTTTTTTTGAAAACATGACCGCGCCACATTATGAATAAAAAAAGGTTGGCAGTCCCAGCAGCTTTGTGTATCGCTAAGTACCTCCCATCACTAGTTCTGTAGTCGTCGCCATATACATAGTTTTCACATTTGGGATTTGTTGTTAAATATAAAGATTTAAGAGTGTTTGATTAACAGAAACCTGCTTTTAAGCAGAATTACCTTTACCCGACGCGGTAAGTTCTTAAAATTATAATTTTCCTAGAATGGACAAATATTTGTGTGTGAAAAAGTGCAGTCGGTAAACACCCACACATACATGCGTGCACACGCTTGTTTGGGTGCGTATTTCAAAAAGATAAAGGCTAAATATTAGATTGCAGAGTTAGTACTCAACGCATACGTGCATACACATGTATTCATGTACATATGTATTTTGGAAAAATGGAAATATTGAAATCGCTTTTGTTTCATGGATTTTCTTAACAATATATATTATACTGAATCATACATTTGGAAATGTTCATCCGCCTGTCATCTACGGTAGGCGTGAGGAAATTCAGCCAACCTTAGCTCGTTTTCTCAGTTTATATCAGTGAACTAAGTTGTTCTTTCAGTTCTTTCGATTTTATTCCCTTTTTAGGTCAACTGGGTCTATAGCTGTATGGCATAATACTCTGCTAAATTTGCTGCGAAGATAGGGATAACTCAATAGAAAAAACGAAAAATGTTGTTCGTAGACTGACTAACTGATATTTTGCAACACACAGATCCAGCCAGCCAGCAAATTTGGATCTGAAAAGTGTAAAAATTTGTTATTTCCGCAGCTCTGCTGCCAGCTCAACTGGAAAGCCAACTAGTCGCATATATGTACATCTCTCGCTCTAACTGAATGCTTTTCCCATAAGGTTGTCTCTGTATTAGAAGCTAGTCAGTTAGCATAGTCTAATGTCATACAGCTACTACCAACTTCTTGGACTTCTGCAACTTCTTCTTCTGCTGTTTTTCCCGATAATGAACTCAGCTTGTTTTGCTAACACACTAAGTAAATTCCATGAACAAATGTAGAAATTCCATTTATGGTCGTATCCCACCACTCTAAATATTAGTTTAGTATAAAAACACAAACACAACGTTCTGTGTTTACATTTGTGTTATTTTGATGAGTTGTTGCTTCTGTTATTAATTCAGGGTACGAATTTATCGCTTCTTTGCTGCTGTGATGCAGCTCAACTAAGAATATAAACTACCTGTTTACCTGTTTAGTTTAAGCCATATTTTATAAACAACTCAATGAAAAGAGTGCTTGAAGTGAACCATCTTGTAGAAAATGTATTCAATTATCGAATAAAACTGTTTTTAGTGCTGAGCGTCCCAGCTATCCAGCAATATTAAACCGAATATCAAAATCGAGGAATATGGTTTCCAATCCTTGACAGAGATCAATTAACCCATTGTACACCAAGGGAGTATTTTAATATTCCACCGAAAATAATGAAAATTTATTCATTTTAGCGCAGTTCAGGTGAATGATATCATGGTTTTTTAAGTTCCGAGGCGAGATGGCATGGATCTACAAGAAAAAATGTACAACCAGTAATATATTCCGCCTTATCCTCAAGTCGTTGAACTGTTTAAATAGAGGAGGCTTAAGTGGGCTAAGTTCGCTTTTTCTTCGGTATATTTACGGTATATTTTTGAAAAGAGACGGTATATTTCTAAGGGGCTAGACCGTATATTTTATCGATAAGTCCACGGTCACACTGATACACATAGTTTTCACAGGTCGAGGATTGCTGTAATTTTTTTTGTTTAAGTGCGTCTAAAGAAAGAAAATCTGCTTTAGAGCAGCAGAATTAAACTATACTGACACGGTGAGTAATTCGAGTTAGTAGATTTATCGCAGATTCCATATTCGCAGATTCGTGAGATTTTGATACGTATATGTGCAAGGTAAACTGCTGTGCAGCATAAAAAACATTTAGGAAAGCTACTAGTTGGCAAGGGCAAACCAGTAACCAGCGGTGGTGTGGTATGCTGACACTCATACATTACATCTACATGTACACATGTGTGCATGGAGATGGATACACACAACCAGAATTTGTATGTATTCGATAAATTATGTTGCTGTTTTTTGCTTTCTTGATGGTAAACAACGCCAAAGGCAGAAAGTAATAATTGATTGCGAGCTTGCTTAGCGCTTTATCGGACAAATTATCTCAGATTTATCTAATCTTACATTCAAAGAGTAGCTAAAACCCCGTCAAATCCGTTCTTGTTGCCTGTGTATGTATGTATGCACAAACTGATGAATGGATGGCAACACTGCGCAGCATTGCATTGTGTAGAAGCAGCAGCAGCAGCTCTTTCAGCCTGTCCATTTGTTGCCCTTAACTTTCTTCCTCTCACTCGTTCACACGCTCCCACTCGCTCTTGCGCTCGTGCAGTGTTGCTGCAAGTGCGTCTGCCTGTGCTTCTGGTTCTGCTGCCTCGTCACTTGCGTCTATTTCGTTCTAATGAGCAAGCTGGTCGAACGCATTTTCTGCTGGGCCCTTACCGAAGAGACTAGTCTCTTATAAAGTTGCATGTAGTTTCTAACTAAAACAAATATACAGTTTGTTAGTATAAGGAGGTGTTAAAATAGTAAAAAAACTGAATTGAAAATTAACTAAACGCAAGGTTCGTACAAAGTGCTCGGCTTAAAGTTCTCGGCAGGTAGATCACGGACACAGACTCTACCCATATTTCAGAGCGTTTGTTTGTGAGTCTTTTGCGAATTTCTTTGTGTATGCCATACTTAAAGACGCATCATATTTCGTATTATGTTTGCTCTGCGGATTCTCAAAGCGGAAATGTGAAAACCAAAGAAAATTACTAAGAAATTTATAACGGATAAGCTTATCAGTGCTGAATCGAGTTACGGGTAAACAACTCCTGTAAAACCGAAATTAGAACCATCTATTTTTTTTCTAATATAAATAATAGTTGAATTGGGTACCGAGTGACGAGACCTTACCCCTTAGGCCATCTCAATTCTTTTTCATATCTTCTCCACACATGCACAAAAATGCATAACCAACTACACACACACACAGAAATTTTACATGTTTTACATTACTCATTTTTTCTGTATTACAGGTGTGCTGTAAAGCGCTTTAATCGCCAAGATGAGTTACATGCCAGCCCAGAATCGTACAAGTAAGTAAATTATTCCCTTTGGGCTCTAAAATCTGCGAATTCATTTGCCGAGGAGTAGGCCGAATTGTCGACCTAGGGTACCAGTATACCCTGTGTTCAAGATGTACGCTATTTGGATTATCTTTTAATTTGTTTTTCATCTCATCGTTTCGCACTCACACCCAACTTAAATGCATCAAACTCGACCAAACACCCACCCACCCACTGCATTGCTGATGGTTGACTGACTCTTCTGTGTCAATTTAACATTTTATGCTGCTGCAGCTTAAAAATGTAACGGAGGAAAGGCAACTGCATCTGTACATGTATTTTTCCCCTATCTATCTAACTATCTATCTCGCTCTCTCTCGTGTGTTGTGTTTTCGTTACCACTTCATTTGCACTCGGCTGCCGTGGGCGGGGACAGGCGAAGAATGTGCGTTATTGTTGTACCCTTTGAAACTTGATTCTCAAACACCAACCCAGGCACCCACACCCACACCCACTCGTGAGCGTATGCACATACACGTGGGTACCCATTCTCGTCCTCTCTCAATCTCATTTACGACGTAAATGCACACATTCTTTTGTGTGTGTGTGCGCCTTTTTTTTTTTTTGCTCGGAATTTAATTAGTAAAGAAAAAAAAGCAAGGAGTATTTTTACGTAAAGGCTTCGCATAAATTATGCTACGGCCGCTGTGGTCCTCTTGCTTTTTTTTTTCCTTGGAGTGCTGTGCCCCACTTGAGGGATGAGGCGCAAAAAGCGCTTAATCGATCTGGGAAATGAAACGAAAATGTGTGAATGCAAATGCAGTGAGGCAGATACCGGGGTGTGGGCGTGGCCTGTGCACTGATGAAACGTGGACGCGGACGCGGACGTGTTCGTGTCGGTATATGTATGTATGGATGTATAAGGACCGAAACAAAGCTAAAGAAGTGGAACTGAAACTGCATAATTAAGCCAGAAATGGCAAACAAAACGCCCTCAAATCCTTTGCCTTTCCAGTGGGAAACTCTCAAGCAAACTCTCCCCATCACCCGTCAATTCCTCGTGAGTGTATTTGTGTATGAGTGTGAGTGTGAGTGTGAGCGTTCGTCCTGGAATATCCTGCAGCGTTCAATTTGTCATGCTTCACATTTTTTCAACTTTTTTGTGCTTAGGTCCGCATTTTGCTGCCGCTTTTGCAGCATGTTCACTTTCTGTCACTGTCGCCTTCCATTTGGCAATCCTTCGTTTCGAGAGAGAGGGCGAGGCCTGGTGTGGTGCCGGGGAGCATCCCGACTAGAGAGGCAGTCCTTGCTTGATGTTGATGTCGAGGATGGGCTCCGTTGTCGTTCTTCAAAAGATTCTTGGGATAGCAGCAGTGTGGATCGGGGAAGGGGGCTGGAACATACATACACATCCACATAAATACATATGTATATGTGTATGTGTGTATGTTTGGTGGGTTTGTAATGCTGTCTTCAATCTGTGGACGCAAATGTTTTCCAGGCTGTACATAAATATTTTAAAATCTGTCATTTTCTGTGCATCTCTAACCCGTTGTACCCCTTTCTGTCCTGTGGCAGTGTCGCATAATAATCAATATAATCCGCCGGACTTGCCACCCATGGTGTCGGCCAAGGAGCAGACCCTGATGTGGCAACAGAACTCGTATCTGGGCGACTCGGGTATCCATTCGGGGGCCGTCACCCAGGTGCCGTCGCTGTCCGGAAAAGAGGATGAGGAGATGGAGGGCGATCCGCTTATGTTCGACCTGGACACGGGATTCCCACAGAACTTCACACAGGACCAGGTGGACGACATGAACCAGCAGTTGAGCCAGACGCGCTCGCAGCGAGTGCGAGCCGCCATGTTCCCGGAGACCCTGGAGGAGGGCATCGAGATACCATCGACACAGTTCGACCCACAGCAGCCGACGGCTGTTCAGCGTCTGTCGGAGCCGTCGCAGATGCTGAAGCATGCCGTGGTCAACCTGATCAACTACCAGGACGACGCTGAGCTGGCCACCCGAGCCATACCTGAGCTGATCAAACTGCTCAACGACGAGGACCAGGTGGTGGTCTCGCAGGCCGCCATGATGGTCCACCAACTGTCCAAGAAGGAGGCCTCGCGCCATGCCATCATGAACAGTCCCCAGATGGTGGCCGCCCTGGTGCGCGCCATATCGAACAGCAACGACCTGGAGAGCACCAAGGCCGCCGTTGGAACCCTCCACAATCTGTCGCACCATCGCCAGGGTCTCCTGGCCATCTTCAAGAGCGGCGGCATCCCGGCCCTCGTCAAGCTGCTATCGTCGCCCGTCGAGAGCGTGCTCTTCTATGCGATCACCACGCTGCACAACCTGCTGCTCCACCAGGATGGCTCCAAGATGGCCGTGCGCCTGGCCGGCGGTCTTCAGAAAATGGTCACCCTGCTTCAGAGGAACAACGTTAAGTTCTTGGCCATCGTCACCGACTGTCTGCAGATCCTGGCCTACGGCAACCAGGAGAGCAAGCTCATCATTCTTGCTTCAGGCGGACCCAACGAACTGGTGCGCATCATGCGCTCCTATGACTATGAGAAGCTCCTTTGGACCACATCGCGCGTTCTGAAGGTGCTCTCGGTGTGCTCAAGCAACAAGCCGGCAATCGTGGACGCCGGCGGCATGCAGGCGCTGGCCATGCACCTGGGCAACATGTCGCCCCGTCTCGTCCAGAACTGCCTGTGGACTCTGCGCAATCTTTCGGATGCGGCCACCAAGGTGGAGGGACTAGAGGCCCTCTTGCAGTCACTGGTCCAGGTTCTCGGTTCCACCGACGTCAACGTGGTAACCTGTGCCGCCGGCATCCTCTCGAATCTGACTTGCAACAATCAGCGCAACAAGGCCACCGTCTGCCAGGTGGGCGGTGTCGACGCCCTTGTCCGCACTATCATCAATGCCGGCGATCGCGAGGAGATCACCGAGCCGGCTGTATGCGCCTTGCGCCACCTCACTTCGCGCCACGTCGACTCTGAGCTGGCGCAGAACGCGGTCCGTCTCAACTACGGGCTTTCGGTTATTGTGAAGTTGCTCCATCCCCCATCACGGTGGCCGCTTATCAAGGCCGTCATCGGGCTGATTCGTAACCTGGCCCTCTGTCCGGCCAACCATGCCCCGTTGCGAGAGCACGGCGCCATCCATCACTTGGTGCGCCTGTTAATGCGCGCCTTCCAGGATACTGAGAGGGTAAGATTCCACCACCATTCCATCCCTACTCACGCTCGGTGTACTGGTACTGGTACTGACCCTTCTCTTCCTGTAGCAACGCTCATCGATTGCCACCACGGGCTCCCAGCAGCCGTCTGCTTACGCCGACGGCGTTCGCATGGAGGAAATTGTCGAGGGCACAGTGGGGGCCCTGCACATCCTGGCTCGAGAGTCGCACAATCGCGCCCTCATACGCCAGCAGTCGGTGATTCCGATCTTTGTGCGCTTGCTCTTCAACGAAATCGAGAACATCCAGGTAAGCCAGCATCCGAAAAACCCAATCCGAAAGGAGTTGCTCACTAATCTTGTCTAATGTCTCACGTCTCTCTCTCTGCGTAGCGCGTGGCTGCCGGCGTGCTCTGCGAGCTGGCCGCCGACAAGGAAGGTGCCGAGATCATTGAACAGGAGGGTGCCACCGGCCCGCTCACCGATCTGCTGCACTCCCGCAACGAGGGCGTGGCCACGTACGCCGCCGCAGTGCTCTTCCGCATGAGCGAGGACAAGCCGCAGGACTACAAGAAGCGTCTCTCTATCGAGCTGACCAACTCTCTGCTGCGCGAGGACAACAACATTTGGGCCAATGCTGATTTAGGCATGGGTCCGGATCTGCAGGTGGGTGGACACTAGTCATAAGTGAGGCGGCCAGCAGCCTGGCACCTGGCACCCGGTACCTGGTATCTTGTGCCTGTGGCCATATTCCACAAGGTGTACTTTGCCTGGGTTCCGGCTTCCATTGGGTTTTCATTTGTTACTTTGCTTCTCTGTTCCCCCTCCACGTCCGCGCCGAAGCGAACTCTGTACATACAACTGTAAAATTGTAGAAACTTAAACTATTCCAGCATTCTGTACTTGTGTTCATATAAGTATCGACCAATATAATAGCCTAATATTCCTTGGACTTGCTTAAGATTTCAATATGCCTTTGAATTTACATTTTTTGTTTTGTTTTTTTATTCTTTTTCTGTTTACTGTATTACGAGAACCGATAGATCGATAAGTAGGTAGAAAAAGCATTTGTCTGTAGATGGCAATCGATATCGACCCCTCAGCTCCGCCCAACTACAACTCCCTCCTATATACTCTCTCAAATCATAAGTGTACATACATATAAATTTGAAATGATTTTCGCCTAGAAATCAGATTTTGTTGAAATTTGTTTGTGTTAATTATGATTTTGTAATTAATTCACATTTTTTTATTTACTTTTTGTTCTTTTTTTCCTTTATGTTAACTTGTAAAAACCAACCAACAACAAACAAAAAACAAACCCAAACAAAACAACACACGAAAACAATTCCAATCACAACAAAAAACCAACTGCAACGGTAAAACATGAAACAACCGACGAATCACCGCACCGAATCACCACCAATATCACTACCACTACCACACACGATCAAAAACTAACTGTCTACATCCACGTGTCTCTCCCTTCCTCTCTGTCACTCTCGCTGAAAAATGCGCAACACAAACTTGTGTCTGTGTCTTCTTCTTTCCTAACAACTTTTCACTTCTGATCCATCCAACAAAAAACAAAAAAACAAAACTGAAAAAATAAATACATCACTCACACACGCACACTCACACCCACACTCACGACAAACAACTGCAATATACACACGCACAACTACACACCGAACCAAACTTTCGACAACAACAAACACACGAAATCAATTAATCACAGGATATGCTTGGACCCGAAGAAGCATATGAGGGCCTTTACGGACAAGGTCCGCCCAGTGTGCACAGTTCGCACGGAGGTCGCGCATTCCATCAGCAAGGTATGTATGTCATATGCATAAGGAAACACCGTTCCGAGACCCCCCCGCCCCCGACCCACTTTACCCTTAACCCTTTGTGTCACCCCCGCACCAAAATGAAGGAGAATAATCAAAAAGTGTTCACACACCCACTGCCACAGCAAGCAGCAGCAAGTCCACCTCCACCCCCAGCCCCGCCCTCACCATCCACACATTTATTACATGCATATTCTGCATTTAATCGTAATCGTGTCAGTTCATCAATTAAACTAAATTACATATAACATATGAATAATCGATGCTAAAGTTAAGTTCGTTTCAACTTTGAAGACTCCTCCAATTACAATATTATTCAATGTGATATCCACTCCACTCCACCCACCCTGCTAACTTGTCTCGTTGTCCACCCCCAGTCAATCGCTGCATGCGATGGAAATAAGTTTCGTTTGTGTCCCCCCCCTCCCGCAATCGGAATAGCATACCCAATCCCCTGCCCCATTTTCTGCCTTGCAATTCTTCAATCTGATTTTCATTTCTTAAACTAAACGACACTGAGCTTTTTTCTTTCCCGTGTCCGACCAGGATCTCTCTCGATCTCTCAGTCTTGGCGCAAGCGAAAGCAGCTAGAGGAAAATATATGACTTTAAACGCAGCAAGCGTACAATACATACAATATGTATGGCTGTTTCCTTTGATTATCAACCTTTAAGGCGTAGGGACCCCGGAAATGTGCATATTTCATACATATATAACTATGTTCGCACCTCACACGCACTTTTGTAGGCACACCCACCAACACACAACAACTGACAGGATCTGCCTGCCGCGCTAGGACTATCTTCGCATTATGAACTTTCATATTTTCTCTTTCTTCATAAATTTTCCATGGATTCTAGGTGCGTTACAGCGGCTGTTGGTTGACTGAGGAAGCAGAATCTATTTTTCAATAATACTTTAAAACTTATTTTCCCTTGATTTGCCCTTGATTAATTTACGTTCCTTGAGTTTGCTTTCGTTCGATAATGCAATATGCAGCGTATGACGTTGTCCGGAGAATGCCCGCCCTTTAGATCGGTTCAGTCTGGTTCATTTTGCATGTTAAGTAGCCCGAAGTAGCCTTTTTAAATTAGCTATAAACTCATATACTATATCTATCTATACACACACGTACTATGTTCATGTATAGTCTATAGTCCTTAGTTTATATAAGCGATGTGCATGCAGATGGGTCATGAGCTCCAAACGAATGGGAATTGCTGCCGTAGTTGACGCCACTTGGTGGAAAATGATTGGGGAACGGCTGATTTATGTGTTTACCTTGTGTTGACGTTTAGCTAATAGTTTTTGGGAGGATCTTTGCAGGGGGCAAGCGCACTAATCTAACTTTTGTACATTTTCTCTATCTCTCCATATCGCTTGTTCGCAGGATATGATACTCTACCAATAGATTCGATGCAGGGTCTGGAGATCAGCAGCCCGGTGGGCGGTGGCGGCGCTACTGGCAATAGCGGAGGTGTTAACAGTGCTAGCGCCGGCAGCGGTGCTGTCGTCCCACCCAGCGGGGCACCAACATCGCCCTATTCCATGGACATGGACGTCGGCGAGATCGATGCCGGTGCATTGAACTTTGACTTGGATGCCATGCCGACGCCACCCAACGACAACAATAACTTGGCTGCCTGGTACGATACCGACTGTTAGACGACAAGCTAAAATTCGATCCTCTCGAATTCCACACACATAAATCGACATTTACTGGCCTCTTCCCCTGGTCCGTAAGCACGGGCACGCCAGTGCCCACAACGATGATAAGACAATGGTACACACGGCCCCGAGCAAAGAGGGCGACTCCGAGACGAGGTGGCCCAGTGGAAGAAGGCTTTTACCACACACATACATAAACATATATATTAATTATAATACAACTGCAACGGCATGAAACATAAAACATATTATATGACGCATTACATATTATCCACATACAAGAAATGGAAAATTAAACAAATGTTTGCAATAGAACTCGTACATTTCCCCAAATTCCCCTCCATTCTTTCTCTTTTCATGTGAGTTGCGGGGGGGGGGGGGGGGGGGGGGGGGGGGGAAATCCCAACAATTCCCAGGTAGACACATGGGGGTTTAACAACAACTCAACAACGGTTCGTTTGTTTATTGGATCCGAAAACGGATCAGTTTGGTTAGAGCGACCTACAAGTGCTTGCCGAACCACTTGTGATCTACGGGAGAAAGCCACCGATGGCAACCATTCAGATTGTTTTGAATAACGTATTTCATGGTGAATGGGTTTTGATTTTCGCGGGCGTATTGCTCCTCCTCGGCCAGCCTCTCGTCGAGCATCGCCTGGGAGACTACCGTCGCCTGGAATGGCAGTTGGTTGGCGACTTGCTGCAGGAATCCCTTTACTTCGACAAATTCGCATTTTCCAGCTATTTCGACTATGACACGACCTGCCCTAATGGGCGTTACGTAATGATCGATGGCACCCTTACCGCCGCCCATGCGTTGGCCCTGGCCCTTCTTTGTGATGGGTTGCCAGGGGGCGGGCACGCGCCATGTAGCAAACATTGTTTGGACGTTCATCTTCCGACCGATGGTAAGTCGCATCATCTCATAGTGGCCCCAGCGCAGGCGACCGCCGCCAGTGGCTACTATCGCGTACTGCTTGTGGAGAAGAGAGTTGTGGACAGGTTCTGGGCCACGCATGTAGCGTAAGCGCTTCTGCATTTTGGGCGGACGTAGGTTAGGTGGCAGCTGCGGCATGCGTTCCATGATCCGCAATTTGGGACGTTCTGGCTGCTCAACATCTGATTAAAAGAAAAGTAAATGAGTTCTTGCTTTTCTAAGAGTTCTAAACTTACTTTGATATTTGATTGGAGGAGCAAAATACTTGAGGCCGGCTGTGTTGATGGCTGCGAACTTGCCTGCTGAAATTTCGAATGACTTGATTGCAAGGTCAGGTCTAGAGGATATGCGCTTACTTGACAGACTGTTTTTGAATAGCTGTGTGACTGTTTTCACGCTCCACATTTCTTATTTGAGTTAATTTTTTTTAACAATAATGTGCTGGCTCGTGATGTAAAAAAACATTGATGCATCGAGCATCGATGTTTTTCTGCCGATGTTTACTGATATTTTCCGATGTTTTTGCTGCTACCGATGTTGAGTGATGTATCGATGTTTTGCAAAACATCGATCGATTAGTTTCAAATTTGTAAGCAGCTAACACAGCAATGCCTGCCTCATTTGAAAGCAATCCTTCGTGTTTTTGGGACTGTGTGAAAAGTACCTATCCTAATTTATACAAAATTGCAATGCAATTTTTACGTTAATGGCATCTTCTGGGTGTATTTTGAACGGGTGTACTCAGCGGCTGCTAACATATTAAGTCGAAAACGTAATAGACTTTCACCTGTGCGACTAAGCCGCATTTTGGTTTTTGCAAAGCATTGACAAATAGTACTTATTTGAAATATTAGTTATGTCTGATGATATCTACAGTGATATGTAAAAGACTGCTATGAAAGCATAATCATTTCTTTTATGTTAAATATTGTTTCGTTTAGTCCTATGATATGTAAAACTCTGCTATGAAAGCTCAATTTTAATTTTTCCTTTCTTGAATATTCGGTTTTATAATCAAATGGGAAAGTTTTGAAACATCGGTCATACATCGATGCATCGAAGAATAAATCCGATGTATCAATCCAACATCGATGTTTGATTTTGACAACATCGATGGATATCGACATCGATGTTTTCATTCAAATTTACATCACTAGTTCGAGATGTAAGTATTGTGCAGTGTGACCGCGGATTTATCGTTTAAATATACCGTCCGACTCTAAAAAATATACCAAAATATACCGTCTCACTTAAAAACTGTACCGTAAATATACTGACGAATTCAAGTTATATTTTACATATTCGTCGTTTTTGATATTTCGTGGAATATTACTAGCTAGATAAAACATTTATCCATGCCCACATAATTTGATCCGATTAGTGAATATATTTTCTAATTGACTGGTTTATTTTAAACACTTGTTTTTATTGCATTTTGCGTAAAAAGAGGTTTTAGCAAAAATGGTAAAATAAAACAAAAGAGGACAGTCGTTCTTATTGTTAAATTTTGATATTCCGTCGAATATTATTAGCTAGATAAAACATTTTGCCATGCCCACATAATTGTATACGACTTATGAATCAATTATTTACTTAACTGGCTTATTCTAAATACTTGCTTTTATTGGATCTTGTCTAAAAAAGGTCAAACAAAAAAAGGTTTTAGCGAAGTAGGTCAAAACAAAAAAACGAAAGAGTATAGTCGTTCATATTGCTCAATTTAGAGATTACGTTGAACAAGATTGGCTAGTTTTTAGTCCTTGCTTTTATTGTATTTTGGCTAAAACAAGGCATAAGCAAAATAGTTCAACAAAAAAACAGTCGCAGTGTTGATGGTATTTGGAGACATGATGCGTGTATAGCCTTTGTATACCCTATTTCGTTAATTTAATATATGGATATATATTTATATATATATATATTTAATATAAGATATGGAGATAAAACGTAATTAAAAAATACCTTTTCTCAAATTTACAAATGTCAAATGTATATGTTTTAGACATATTAATGAATATGATTGGTATCTTGCATATATATATCTCGATCCTGATAGCTATTCTTGGTCTCTGTAAGAATACAATAAACTGCAAAATATCGTTGTGATATTTAAAACAGAGACTAAGTTTTGTTTGCCTTCTTTGGAGCCTGGGATGACAAACATTTCATCAATCCCATTATGCCCCTCCATGGAAGAAATTTAAAAAATTGCTGTGTAAAAGCGGGTAAGATGTCATCTGTAATCTTGTGTTTTTCAACAACGTAAGCAAATTAAGCTTTGGGTGCTTTAAGGACGGTGCCCATCAGAATGGCCGAGAAAATTATCTGCAGCAAATCCCTTGGTTTTAGCACTGGTCTCCACAGATCCTCGCAGATTACATGAATCTACGGGCTGCGCTTTCCAACTGCAACGAAGTTGTCAATTTTATTTGGGATTCAAATTAGATCCACGGTCGAAACAAATGACTCCACTGTGCCCCCCTGGTTGGAGACCAGCAACAATGCAGTCGACTTGGTACGGTTTGCGTTGTTCGTACAAAAACAGATTCTTGGTGTATATATCTGGCGTTACCTCTGCCAACATCTACTCGCGGATCTTCCAGCGATAGCGCACAGCAATAATATCATTTTTGGGTCCTGTAGAGAATGAGAATTTAGTCATCTGGTCCACTTTCAACTAGAATCTCTTGTTTCAAAAACCGTCGATCCCACAAAATAGAGCTCGCTCGGTCCGTAGCAATGCCCACACAGTGGTTGGCGTACATAACCGCAACACTGCCAAAATTATTTGTCCTGTTGCTCCTAGCTAATATTATATTTACTTAAATTAAATAACTCTATATCCTTTTCCCTAGGGTAAGAACAACGTTTGTAGACCTTTGCGACTAAGCCGCCGCAAACTTATTAATTAAAATTCTATTTGAATAATCCTGCTCTACCAAAGCAGCTGGCTTGATTTTTTTTTATGAAAAAAAGAATTGCACCAAGTTTTAAGGTATTGGCTGTGCCTTACGTTTCTTATGCATTTCGACTCGGAAGTGGATTCAGATGGTTTGGAATTCTCGTTTCAGACAAGCGTTGCCAGACAGTTCCGTGCAGATAGAAATAAAAAATTCGATATCAATATTGTCTCAATTGAAAGCAAACGATTTATATTGTTTTTAAACAGTAAAAAAAATAAAAATGTTTGTAATGGACAAATTGTCCCTACTTTCATGAAGCCGGAAGAAGCATAATTTCCTATTAAATTGATTTTGAAATAAGAAAAAAAAACGACCAAACGATGGCTGATCAAAACCATTGGCATGTGTTTACATTAAAAAAAAATTGTGTTGTATTCTAAAAATGGGTCTTTATTTATTTTAAGTTATTTTAATTTAATTTGATTTTATTTTAAATTGTCTTTTTTTGTTTTTAAGTCCATATTAAAACTATTTTGTGGTAGCACTGGCTAGAGCACAGCTGGTAAGTGTGTACTCATTGTTATCGAAAAACTCAACCCTGTATTTTGTATATTTCGTGGTATTTTTTTCATGTATTTTCACTAGCTAAAAGTTTAGGATACACTGCTACTGCATACACGAAAATATTTTTGTCCAAATAGTGCATGTTTTAAAACATTTTCTGTATGTATTTAGCACGAAATTTAAGCTGATCCAGCATTCATTGCTAGCGACTGACTCTGTCCAGTGTCCACTTGTTTGTTATGAATATATCGAAAGTGACAACATCGCTTGCTGCTGCGGCTGCTGCCGCCGAAAAGGCAAAACCCGAACGTGTAACATCTGCAACCGCAGCGCTAAATTTTAATGCAATCAATATACAGAAGCGCACCAGCATCGACGATACCGAGGATCCGAATCGCAAGAAACTCAAAACCGAATTGCTGCTTTGCCCGCCCTCGACTAGTTTGCCCGCCAAACAACAACAGCTACAACAGCAACAGAAACACCACCAGCACCACCGACAACAGCAACGTGCTGTTCCAGGAGGGTCCGTCCAAGCCCCGTCATTGGCATTCCAATCAACAGCTGCAGCCTCAAAACAAACATCCGCTGCTTCCGAAAAGTCTGCAGTTGAGCAACACCCGAAAGTGGATCAAGTCGGCACCGAGAATGCCTGGGATCCGCGCGAGGATAAGATTATAGTATGTAACTTTGGAGCCAACGCTGAAATGAGTGCAATAAAGCCTGAAGAAGCGCTCGACGGCAGCCAAAAGCAGAGTGAGTATGAACTAGCAAACATATTTCAATTCAACCCGTAGCATCCCTTGGCATCGATGAATAACCAATTATTTCAAACCACGCTTCCAGGTTTTACAAGCTTTACCAAAAAGGAGGCCGTCTGTCCGTCGTCCGCATCTTCTTCCTCCTCGACGGCCTCCACTATTTCAATCGAGCCGAGTGGAGGAGCCGAGCATGTCGAGCTGGCCAACAAAACAGCGCTGCCAGCTGTCGAGGAGCTGGACTACGCCCTACTGCCGACCTCGGCAACTGAACAAAAGGTGGTGCCCGAAAACTCAACCATCGCGTCGGCCTCTGCCTCCTCCGGCGCCTCCGTTGCCACGGTGATCACATCCGCAGTCGCCCCCGTGACCGTCAGCTCATCCACAACGTCTACGATTATACTGAATGCGAACAATGGAGGCGGATCAGGACCAGGCTTGGGAGGGACCACTATAATGAACCAGAAGTCGGTACAGGCCAACTACAATATATTCAATGCGACGACCGCCAGCAGCCAGCAAGTAACCCACCAGCCCACGCTCCTGAACCGCGTAAACATTCAGTCCAAGATGAAGGCCACCCAGCTGGTGGTGAACGCGAAGAAGCTGTCGGAGGTCACCCAGACGACGGCCAAGGTTTCCATCGGCAACAAGACGATCTCCGTGCCGCTGCTGATGAGTGCTAGTGGGGCGGCTACCGCCGGTGGCGCCACCATCGTCGAGAGCAAGCAGATCATGCAGCCCGGCCAGGTGACCGCCGTGGCCAGCGCTTCCCCGTCCGGGCAGCAGAGTGCGGCGCACCAGCACCAGCAGCAGCACCTCAACTACACGAAGCTGATCAAGCGCGTGCCCAAGAACCCCACCACAATCGTTTCGTTCTCGGGCCTGCAGATCAAGCCTGCCAACACCAAAATAGTCGCCGCCAAGGTGGTCAGCAAGAAGATGTCCCTGCAGATCCAGCAGCAGCACCAGCACCAGGTCCAGCAGCTGCAGGTCCAGCAGCAGGCCCAACAGGTGAACAGCGGCAGCCTGGCCCCTGCCACGGCCAGCATTGTTTCGATAACCACCTCGAATCCCAACCAAACGTTTTCCATGGTTAAGGAGAAGCTGCACGACGCCTCCGAGATTGGCGACACGGCCCACGAGGCGGGAGTCAGCGTCAATGTCAATGCCAACTCCTGTCGCAATCCAGCCACCCGGCTGGCCGGCCACAAGATAACTTACAGTGAGAACATATTCAACAAGCCCAAATCGCAGGACTCTGGAACCGGCGACGAGTTCGGAAACCTCAATAGCGTCGTGATAAAGCCCCTGGACAAGGCCAGTCACAACTGCGCGCCCAGCTTTAATATCTTCAAGCAGCAGTCCCTACAAGCGGGTGCGGGCGCGGGAGCGGGTGCGGCCACCGCCGTGGCGCAGGCAACCGGCACGGTACCCGTGACGGTAACAATGACGCCATCCGCCGCCGGCAGCGGCTCTGAGATGTCCAGCAGCACCTCCTCCGTATCGGTCTCGGCCATACTGAACGAGGCTGTGGCCAAGTCGACGGCGGGCACGATCTGCATCAACACACCGGGAATGGGGGCCCGGCCCATCATCTCCATACAGAACAAGAACATATCTCTGGTGCTGTCGAAGACGACGATGGCCCAGCAGAAGCCCAAAATGATCACCACCACCGTCAGCAGTTCCGCGCTGCAGATGCACCACGCCCTCAACCAGGACCCGAATCCGGACAAACCATCCCCGTCCTCGTCGTCGTCATCGTCATCAGTGTCAGTGTCGGGCGCCGGCGCGGCTCCAATGCAGCTGAAGCTCACGTCGGTGCCCTCCGTGGTGGGACTAGGGCTGGGCGTGGTCACCACACCGGCCACCACGCCCACCAAATTGAGTGTAAGCCTGGCGGCGGCAGAGGCACTGCAACCGATGCCATTCTCGATCATAATCCCAAAGATGGATGAGCTGAGCAACGAGCCCAAGACCAATCTGCTGGTCAAGCAGGAAGCAACAGTCAAGGATGCTCCCGCCGCCCCGCCTCTGGCTCCAGCGGGCGAGCAGTCGGGCGAAGTCCTGGTGGCGACCGAGAAGCGTCTGAACGCCAGCACCACGCTGACTGCCATCACAACCTCAGCTCCAGGCCCGCCTGCATCCACGGCCACAGCCACAGCCACAGCCGCAGCAACAATCTGTGCATCTGCGCCAGCTGCAGCGAACAGCAACCAGCACCAGCGGGCCAACTCTGATGACTCGAACAACGCGCTGCTGAAGCAGCTGCTCCAGAACAGCAGCAGCAGCCACAACCTCAACCAAATCAGCATCAACTCCGCCCACGTCGCTGCGAGCACAGCGCCGCTGTCCGCCCGCAAGGTGATCAACGTGCGGGCCCCGAGCATGGGCCTAGTCAGCTCCCTGGAGGCGCAGTTGGCCCGTCCGGTCATTCCGCCCGTGCCGGCGGCAGTAAGCAGCAGCAGCGGCGGATCCGTGGCCACGCCCACCACCACCACCACAGTAGCAAACGGGAATGGAGGCAGCCAGCAGTCGGCGTCTGCCGCGCCAGCTGCTCCGCCTGTCGCCCCATCTGTTGCCGCCTCCGCCTGCGCCCCCACTTCTGTAGCCCCTGAAGCTCCCGTTCCTGCAACCAATGCCGCAGCGGAGCTGGAGCAGCAGATGCCGGTGGTGCAGCAGTCCTCGATCCAAGGCCTACCGCAACCAACACCCACCCAACCGCCCCCGGCTGCCCAGCAGATGCAGCAGCAACAACAGCAGCAACAACAGCAGCAACAACAGCAGCAACAACAGCAGCAACAGCAGCAGCAGCAGCCACAACACCAAGTGAAGCAGACCGTGCAGATTGTGTCCAAGGAGACCTCGTTCATATCGACACCGCCCACGCACGCTACTCTGACAATGGGAGACAGGAAGCTGGCGGAGTCTTCCGCCACGTCCAGCAGCAAGTCGACGGAGTTCTTGCCGCCGCCGCCGTATGAGCTGGCCACCGCTCCCGTTTCGAATGTGACAATCTCCATATCCACCAAGCCCTCTAAGGATATGAGCTTGCAGATGAAGCACAAGTCCTCGGCCATGCCCATGGCCATGTCGATGGCAATGGACCAAGAGTCCCTGGGCGTGCCCTTGTCGGAGCAGGCCGAGAAGCCGCTCACCAACTCGGACAACCTCCAGACAACAGCAGCATCGGCAGCAGTGCACAGTGCAGCCGGATCGGGAGCAGTAACCAACAGCTGGAGCAGACAGATCCAGGACAACAACAGCACCATTCAGATTGAGCCGGGAATGGGCCAAATCCTGGCCCCCAACAAAATGTCCTTCAAGTCGGGGGAGGCGCAGAAGAGGAAGCTATCCATGCAGTCGCATCCCCAGCTGGACGAGAAGCTCCAGCTGCAGCACAGCCACCCTGACCCCTCGCACAGCGACGATGTGCTGCAGAAGCATCTGCCTCTGGCCATAAGGATGAAGCCGCCGCCGCCCGGTACCAATACACCCGGAACCCCTGGGACGGAAACGAACAAGATGCAGCTCATTTCAGCCAGCACAAGCTACGCGAAGAAAACTGGGCAGCCGGGCGAGACGCCCCACCAGGCACAGATGCAGTCTCAGATCCAGGGCCAGATGCCTGGCCAGATGCAGTTGCACGTGCATCAGCAGCAGCAACAGCAGCAGCAACATCACCAGCAGCAACAGCAGCAGCAACAGCAGCAGCAGCAGGCGGCTCATTCACATGCTCAGGGGCATCCCCAGGCCCATCCTCAGAGCTTGCCAACGGCCATGGAACCCAAAGCCGGGGACCAGCGAAAGCGGCGCAAACGGGAGGTGCAGAAGCCACGGAGAGGCAATCCGAACGCCGGACAGGCGGCCAACAGTCTCAAGGATCTGTCCGGGACGCTACCAGCAGGCGCGATGGTGCAGCTGGCCCGCATGCCCCCGGGCACCCAGTACGTGCAGGGAGCATCCGGCACTGGTCTTGTGCCCGCAGGAGTGGTCGGAGTCGGAGGCGGAGGCAGTGCCGCCGCCTCGCCCATGCTGAAAAAGCGAGTGCGGAAATTCTCCAAGGTGGAGGAGGACCACGATGCATTTACCGAGAAGCTGCTGACGCACATCCGCCAGATGCAGCCGCTTCAGGTGCTGGAGCCCCACCTCAACCGCAACTTTCACTTCCTTGTTGGGAGCAGCGAGATGGCGGGCGCAGGAACGGGATTGGGATCGGGATCGGGATCCGGATCGGGAGGGTCCACCTCCGGCAACGGCAAGCTAAAGGCCGGCGCCTCCCTATCCCGCAGCTGGCCGCTGGAGGAATGCGACGGATCGCTGCTGGGCCACTTCGGTCGGGTGCGCCATCCCAGTATTCCCTCGCTGTACGACAGCGAACGCTTCGGCGGGAGCGGGGGCCCGACGGGGGGCTCTGCATCTCCGTCGGGGTCTCTGGTGGGAGTGGAGGGAAAGTCGCAGCCCATGTCCAGCATCCAGAACGACTTCTACGACCAGGAGTTCTCCACCCACATCGAGCGGAATCCCCGCGAGCGGCTGCTGCGGCACATCGGGGCCGTGAAGGACGCAAACCTGGAGACCACAGAGCTGGTGGAGGGCGAGTCCCTGACCGCCTGGACGGCCCTTCCGCGGCTCACCCGCTTTCCGGGCCTAATTCTGCTGAACAACAACAGTCGGTGCCACGGGCGGATGTCGCCGGTGGCCCTGGCCGAGGACCCCCTCACCATGCGGATGCCCACTTCGCCCCTGCTCCGCACCTGCGCCGAGGAACTGCGCAAGGGCCAGCAGATGGAGCTGGGGGGCGGCCACGGCAACAGCAACAACAACAACAACAACTATCAGCAGAAGAACCAGAACGTGATACTCTCGCTGCACTCCTCGACGACGGACAACATAGCCGGCGTGCTGCGGGATCTGGCCAATCTGCTGCACCTGACGCCCGCCCTTACATGCAAGCTCATCGAGGAGAAGTCGGACCCGAAGACCGGCTCCGAGCCCAGCCTCGACCAGCCAAAGAGCCAGGGAGCCAAGGAGGAGGCCGACGAGCAGGCCGAAAAGGAGCCGTTCAAGCGGCCCCTCTCCGCGAGCAACGGCCACCTGAGGAAGATTCTCAACGGGCGACGCAAGCTGTGCCGCAGCTGTGCCAACGTCGTCCCCGCCAGCGGCCTGCGGGTGCCCAGCCAGAGCATGCCTCCGCTGGAAGAGCAGCTGCCCCGGCTGGCCCAGCTAATGGCGCTGCTGCCCCGGAAGACGCCGCCGCCTCCGTTCTTCTACTTCTGCGATCGTGCCTGCCTGGCCCTGTTCAAGTGGAGCGGGAAGGAGGTCCAGGCAAAGGCCGAGGCGGCCAGCATCTCTCTGCTCGCGGCCAGCGGGTCCTCGAAGAGCACTTTGGCGTCGGGCTCGTGTCCGGCCGTTCCTCCAGAGCATGTGGTGAAGACGGAGCCGCCGGAGGAGGAGCTCGACGTGAAGCAGAGCTTGGGCAGCGAGACCGCTGCGCCCCCACTGCAGCGCAAGTGCATCGTCAAGTGCTTTAGCGGCGACTGCTTCGCCACGGAATCGTCCGCGAGCACGGACATCAAGCAGGAGTACGATGGAGCCACTTCATTTGCTGCCCCCAACAACACGGTGTGGGAGACGGACGTGGTCAGCCACCTAGAGGACACGCGCCAGTGCGTCTTCTGCAACCAACGCGGCGACGGCCAGGCGGACGGACCCTCGCGGCTGCTCAACTTCGATGTGGACAAATGGGTGAGACTAATGTGCTAATGTTGTCGCCTGTCGCGGCCCCTTCTAATCCCTCATCCCTCATCTTTGAATCCCTCTCCTCTCGTACAGGTCCATCTCAACTGTGCCTTGTGGTCGAACGGCGTGTACGAGACGCTGTCCGGAGCGCTGATGAACTTCCAGACCGCACTGCAGGCGGGGCTGAATCAGGCGTGCAGCGCTTGCCACCAGCTGGGAGCTACCATCAAATGCTTCAAGTCGCGCTGCAACAACCTCTACCACCTGCCCTGCGCCATTCGGGAGGAGTGCGTCTTCTACAAGAACAAGTCCGTGCACTGCAGTGCCCATGGCCATGCCCACACCCACGCCCAGGCCCACGCAGGCAGCGGAAGTGCCAATGCCGGATCCGGGTCCGGGTCTGGGTCTGGAGCCACTTTCGGGCCAATGGAGAACGAGCTAAGCTCCTTCGTTGTGCACCGTCGGGTGTTCGTGGACCGCGACGAGAACCGTCAGGTGGCCACCGTCATGCATTACACGGAGCTGAGCAACCTGCTGCGGGTGGGCAACATGACGTTCCTCAATGTGGGCCAGCTGCTGCCCCACCAGCTGGAGGCCTTCCACACGCCCCATTTCATCTACCCCATTGGCTACAAGGTGGTAAGTACCTCTTGTTCGCTCTCCCGCGTCCATGGTGTCATCCCAATCCCACTCGTGATTCGCAGAGTCGCTACTACTGGTGCGTGCGGCGTCCGAATCGGCGGTGCCGGTACATCTGCTCCATAGCCGAGGCCGGCTGCAAGCCTGAGTTCCGGATCGTTGTTCAGGACGGCAGCGACAAGGAGCCGGAGCGCGAGTTCCAGGCCAGCACGCCAACGGGGGTGTGGCAGCAGATCCTGCAGCCCATCACCCGCCTGCGGAAGGTGCACAAGTGGCTGCAGCTCTTCCCGCAACACATCAGCGGCGAGGACCTCTTCGGGCTAACGGAGCCGGCCATTGTGCGCATCCTGGAGAGCCTGCCCGGGATCGAGACGCTCACCGACTACCGATTCAAGTACGGCCGCAACCCGCTGCTGGAGTTCCCGCTGGCCATCAATCCGTCCGGCGCCGCCCGCACCGAGCCCAAGCAACGGCAGCTGCTCGTCTGGCGCAAGCCGCACACCCAGCGGACCGCAGGCAGCTGCAGCACCCAGCGCATGGCCAACTCGGCGTCGATTGCCGGAGAGGTTGCCTGCCCCTACAGCAAGCAGTTCGTCCACTCCAAGAGCTCCCAGTACAAAAAGATGAAGCAGGAGTGGCGCAACAACGTCTACTTGGCGAGGTGGGTTTATTCCAAGACTAACAGGAGGGCCCTCGGAAATGACCCGTTTTCTTTCTCCACCATTTAGGTCGAAGATTCAGGGCCTGGGCTTGTATGCGGCCCGAGATATTGAAAAGCACACCATGATCATCGAGTATATTGGGGAGGTCATTCGCACCGAGGTTTCCGAGATACGGGAGAAGCAGTACGAATCCAAGGTACGTGACAGCCAATCAATGTAGTCGAACGAATGAGTCATCCTGAACTTCTTTGCCGTTGCAGAATCGAGGCATTTACATGTTCCGCCTTGACGAGGATCGCGTCGTAGACGCCACTCTGAGCGGCGGCCTGGCTCGCTACATCAACCACTCCTGCAATCCGAACTGTGTGACGGAGATTGTTGAGGTCGATCGCGATGTGCGGATCATAATATTCGCCAAGCGTAAAATTTATCGTGGCGAGGAGGTGAGTTCCACATACCCGGACACGGACACAGAGACGGATTTTTAATTTTTGTTTTCTCTCTCGCATGCTCTCGCAGCTCTCGTATGACTACAAGTTTGACATAGAGGATGATGCACACAAGATACCGTGTGCCTGTGGCGCTCCCAATTGTCGCAAGTGGATGAACTAAAGGCAGCAGCAGCAGCAGCAACAGAAGCGATTACAGCAACGAGCACCAGCACGAACCAACCCACATGGAAGTTCTCCCAGTGACCGGGAATCCGAACATTCATTCTCTAAACAGTGTAGATCATGTACATATATGTAGTTATATGTATGAATACGTGCTATTGTAGAGCATAGACCATAGAGCATAGAGCATAGGACCCTGCAAGTTATGTATTTTATATGTGCCCGCCGCCCACTGTAGCTAATTTTTATCCTTAATCGCCCGTAAGAAGGGGGACAGGGCAGTGGAAAGAGTGGGAATGGACAGCGTTTTCACCATTGAAGTGCTATACTGTATAATTTCTATAAAAAAAAAAAATATGTATTTTATGTTAGGTACATTATTGCACGATTCCCCTTCCCTCCCCCCACCCCACATACTCCCCTCCCCTCCCCACCCCACCCTCCCTTCAACCCCAAGCACCACGACCACAAAGAGCACAATCAGCTCAGCATCATTATCATCACAATATTATTCATCGTGTTTGTAGCCCCACAGAGATAGACCCCAGCGAGTGCCGCCACTTGACTTTATGCGTGTGTGCCTTCCTTTTTGTTTACCATTATTATATTATCATAATTATAACGATTATTAGTTTTTGCATTCGTACAATGGACATTAGAAGGTAGAGCGAGTAGACATGAAAGCGAGTTTGTTTCTCAACAGGAGTAATAAATGTAATATGCACAACCTTCATTGAATACGTAGACATACGAATATACATATATTGTATTTTATTTTATTTTATTTAACTAGTTCGCCTTAAAATTAAGAATATTAACTATCCAGAAAGCGTTTTTTTTCATCTCCATAAGTGTTAAGTAAATTGTATGCAACCATTTTGCAATCATTTGAAACGTTTCACTTTATTTGTCTATTTAAATACTCAAAAAATTTTCATCCTAAGAACTAAATTGGTGCATACATATACTCGAGTGTAGTCTACCCGATCCAACAAAACAAAACGAAACAAATCAAATTAACAAAACGAATCGAAACTAGTTTCTGAGTACTCAGACTCCTGTTCGTCTCTTTCTGCGAGTCAGAAGCTTTTGGACCTGCACCATGAACGCCAATGTGAGCATGTCAAAGTTTTTCAGATACCACGAGAGGTTGTACATCATATGAATTCGCCAATTCTTGTCCAGAAAGGTCTTGTAGAATTCACTCATGCGATCGGCCGAGATGTCCTCGGTGCCAGCCTCTTTGTGCAGTCGTATGAAGTCTTCTTTCTCCTAAAAACGACACTTGTTTTAAGTCTTCATCAGAGCGAGAGAGATGACAAGAGAGATGGCCAGGAAAAAGAACTGGGGCCAGCTAACCTCATAGAATCGTTTGTTGTGCTTGGTCCAGAAACTCGCGTTCCAAGCCTCCACTTCGATGCGCGTCAATCGCAATTTCTTAGCCAGATCCGTTTCGTTTTCATCGTAGTGCCTCACGTAGGGGCGGAGGTTCGATTGCGGATCTGGCGGACCTATATAGTCGCAGCTGACGGTCTTCGGATCTGGCGGATGGGCCAGACCAACAGGACGGCTCCCTTTCGGTGCCTGCTTTGTGGCATAACATCGCGGTAGCTAATAAATTTGAAACCTCTGAGTTTTATAATAATGCCGCCACATACCACTCAGACTCACGTTAAATTGTGTAAACAATATTCTCGTTTGGTATTTAAAGCACATTTCTATTTGTCAATAGATGTTATGTCAGGGGGCAAGGTAGAAAACTATCGTGAAAATTTTCTTTAACTTACTTATCGATATCCATCACGACGGGATGTACTTTCCCGGATTTGTATAAAATGCATACGAAATCATTCCTAGCGAAATGTGTATCTTGTCTAGGTAACTTTTAGGCCATCACACATAAAATCCTCACTACTCTTATGGTCGTATTCCACTACACCTTAATACCAGAGCAGTATGAAACACAAACAAAACGATAAATTTGTGTGAAGTGGTGGTTTGCCAGTTCATCAACGAGCACAGCTGATTCATATATGTATAGAGAACTGTTATTTAAGAGTATGAATTTACCGCTTTGCTGCCTGAAACTGAAGCATATATTTCTCTGGCTAAGCACTTCTGAAAGTGCACTGGAATACGAGCATTATTCGATACTGTATCGGTATATTTGTCTAGTATATCTATTCAGTGTTGAAAATCGAGAGAAAATGGCATTCAAGCTGCTGTCCCGTGACATTAAATCTCCATCGGAGAAATAAAAATAAATTTAATTTTGCAAAGGGGAAGCGCAGCTAAGGAATATGTCGCCCAAGAACAACCACGATCCCACCTCGTCCAGCGACCCGGGAAAAGCAAATGTGCCGGAAGCAGATCTACAAGGTTAGCTAGGCGAGATTGCACAGCATTGATAACGACAATGGCTTTTCACAGAAATGGAAGATGTTAACCAGAGCCTGGACGCCCTCAGCTGCGCCTTGGACGCAGTTGAACAGCGCACCGATGACATCATGTCGCAGCTACGGGAGCTGCTAAGCTCCAATAGGGAGATCCGTCGCCAGCTCGCGGAGCAGAAGGACAAATCTGGGGATCAGGAGACTGCCGATGATGACATGAATGGACAGCCGAATAATGATAATGTATCGAAGTAAAGCTGATTTCCAATGTTTTGTTTGTACCTCTCTTCATTTGTATTAGATTGTTCCTGTTTTTTGTTTGTTTGTATGCATATGTACGTAAACGTATAGCAATATTTGTTCGTATAATTATTAGCACCCGTATATATGAACTAGAATGTATGTGTATTTTTACGAATAATGATGGAAGGATCAGGAGGATAGGGGATCAGGCCAATTGTTTCGATCCCTCGGTTTGGCGTATGACTTCTCGTCTTTTAAGAACTCAATCTTGAAAGTGAACTCGCCGTTGAGTAAGAAGCTTTTATCCGGATATTTTGCGAAGTTACTTTCCACCTTAAGCAGTTCACGAAGACAAGTAACTGGGCCACTTGAAAACCAGTCAGAACATTGGAAGCGAAGTTTTAGAGTGTACGATTATCCCACCACCGAAGTACAATCCGGCTGATGCATATACAAGAACATTTTCTTCATTAGAATCATTCTCCAATCTGGTAGACATAACTATTCGTTATGATATAGCATCTTTAGTACTCTCGTGTCTTCAAAATTCTAGATGGGGGCAGTTTTTCTTTAATAAACTGTGATATAAGAGCAGTCCACACACAACATTCTGTTGGTCTATCTCTTATAGCCTCGAGATAGACGGACGAAGATAGATTCCTTCTATCTGCATAAATTTACACGAAATTTAGCCCGTACTCTTTGACACTCTTGCATAAAAATTGCAGCCTGAAAGTTAACAGCGGATAATTGAAAATGCACTGCCCATTTTGGGACAGCTGGTTTTTGATTTCTTTACAGTCTTAAGTTTTTCTTATTATATAGTAATGAGCTATAATCTAAGTAAACAAAAGGCACGGGTGGAGCCAACCACTAGTTCTTACGAGCTTTCTTGCGATTTCTCTGTGGAGGACCCTTACCGCTTTCCGAATGGTCTACCAAATACTTCGCCATGGTTTGAAGCACTTCCTCGTTTTTCTTTTTGAGTCGTCGGTTTTCGGCGATAAGTTTCTGTACTGCAGGATCATTGAAATGGGCCTTATGAAAGTCTTCCTCGACCGCTAAAGCCACATCTTCATCTTTAACTTTGGAAGATTGCCGAGTTGACTTCAGCGCCTCCTCGTCAAATTCAATATCATCGTCATCGTCAACGTCAACGTCATCGGCGCCCAGATTTACGTGCTGCATTTTTTGTAATATTTTTTGATCCTCCGGACCCAAGTTACAGTTGTCAAAATTTAGCTTTGGTTTGGCACGTGCTTTGGGGTACTCGTTGGTGACGAGCAACTCAATATAATCATTAACATCCGGAGGCGTGATCATCCGCTTGAGACTGTTTGCGAATAATTGTGGTTGCTTGTGTTGCGGCTGGAAAATGGCGGGACTGAGAAGACGGATTCTCAGATTAGTGATCACGCCGTTCTGGGGAATACTCTTCATGAGCTGCCGACTCGCAACATCCCAAACGCAGACTTGCTTATCCTCACCGCCAGAGACCAACAGTTGGGCATTCATTGTCAGAGCCAAGGAGGTTATGGGTTTTCCAACCGTATGGCCGATAAAGGCCTGAGCATCGTCCTCCTCCAGATGGTATTCCTGAAATAAACCATGATTAGCCATGCTATTATTATTTTTGTAGTCACTCACCTTCATCCGTGGCGCTCTCCAATTGTGAAACACAAACGACTTGCCTTCGGCGGAGCCAACATAAATGCTGGTCTCCATCCTATTGACAACCACGCTGTGCAGTGCTATTGGGAACACAATGCTGAGGAGCATGATGCCACCGTTTAAATCATATACTTTGCAGCAGCGGTCTAGGGACACTGTGTATAAGTAGGAGCGAATGCCACCAATTCCAGTGTGCAGATCCGTCACAGCCAGGCCATGATCGTTAAAGCTGTACAGAGGCTCACTGCCCTCCTGGCTGCCGTTGTCTAGCGGGGCAACAGAGAAGGTGAGATCCCAGACCAGAACGGCCCCATCTTTCCCGGCGCTGACAAAGCGCTCGCCATTGTCAGTGAAGCGCAGACAGGTTATGGCCTGGTAGTGTTTCGAGAGGGTGTTCAGCATGCGGCCAGTGCTCATGTGCCAGATATAAATGCTCTCCTGTATTCCAACTACCAGGTACGCGCCATCTGGAGTGAGGGCCATAGCATTGGCCTTGCCTGGCAACACAAATCGCAGGCTCGACATCTGCTCCTGCTTATTGATAGGCCAGACGTGGAGCAAAGGCTTAATTGTGTTGGCTGCCAGAACATAATTCAGCCCAATCATAGCCAGACTGTGGTGTTGGGCATTCCCGCCGCCCTTGTACTTCATTAGGTCGGTGCCGGTGCGCAGATCCTGGACGCTGCATGTTGTGTTTTCCTCGCTGCAGGCGCTGACGAATAAAGCTTCCACAGCATCTCCCATTTTCGGTGCACGTGCGAGCGATGATTGATAACCAGCTAGTGATGTAAAAAAACATCGATGCATCGATCATCGATGTTTTTCTGCCGATGTTTACTGATATTTTCCGATGTTTTTGCTGATACCGATGTTGAGTGATGCATCGATGTTTTGCAAAACATCGGTAGCTTAATTTCATATCATTGCGTATTTGTCTTCTGTAAGCAGCAACACAGGAATGCCAAATTAAGTAAACATATGTGACTTAAAATGAATCATATTTACTATAGATGGTATACATTTGTTTAAATATGAAACTGCGAACGCCGTTAACATCATTCGAAGGCAACCCGTTGTGTGTTTGGGAAGGGTACTGTTCTGTGTCTGTGACTATATACGTTATTAATATTACAGAATAGACAGTACAATCTCATACACAAATACTCATAAATACAATTGTCCATGTCACTTCATGTCAATGAATATGACGACACGAAAATTACATTAGCAACTAAGAATAGACAATTGCAGGATGAAGCAATAAACTATTTACTCTATTGCTGCCAAGTACCTAAGTAAATGCACTGAAATGTAACCCCCGCACAGAGTAAGTGTACCCTATCTAAAAATACTCTCACATGGAGCCTGTGCGTTCCTTCCCATACAATAAGAGTACCACTGCTAGCTATATAAGGAGATCCGTTTGTTCAATAAAACTCAGTATCAGAAACAGTACCACAACTGCCTGTCACTAATTTTCCCATCGCAATCATCAGGTCCTGATTTCGCGGTCATACATCGATGCATCGAAAAATAAATCCGATGTATCAATCCAACATCGATGTTTGATTTTGACAACATCGATAGACATCGACATCGATGTTTTCATTCAAATTTACATCACTATAAAAGCCTCGGAGTGAGCACTAGTGTGACTGCGGACTTATCCATAAAATATACCGTCCGACCCTCCGAAATATACCAAAATATACCGTCTCATTTGAAAAATATACCGTAAATATACTGACAAATTCAAGTTATATTTTACATATTCCTCGTTTTTGATATTCCGTCGAATATTACCAGCTATATAGAACATTTAGCCATGCCCACATAATTTTATCCGATTATTGAATCTATTTTCCAATTGATTGGTTTATCTTAAACACTTGATTTTATTGCATTTTGCGTAAAAAAGGTCTTAGCGAGAAGGGTCAAACAAAAAAAGAGAGTAATCGTTCTTATTGCTCAATTTTAATATTACTCTATAAATTGCTCAGCCCTGCCCACGCATATCGACTAAAACCAAGCTTAAACAAAAAAGTTCAACCAAAAATATTCGCTATGCTGTCACGTTGCTGTTGTTTGAAGACTTGTTGCTTGTCAACCGGAGTATGGCCATTTGTATACCATATTTAGTTAATTTTATATAAAGATACTGTTTTAAAACGTAATTAATTCCACAATTCTATAATATCCATTTATCCTTTTTCACAGCACTGCATATATTTCTCTCGCTGTCACTGCATGCTTTTTTCATAAGACTGTTTTCGCAGCTAGACAGTTAGCAAATTCTAATGTCATATGGCCATATGGTTTACCAACCAACAAACACAAATTTATCGTGTAAGTTTTTTCAGACTAGTCTGGTCTTGAAGTGTAATAGAATACGAGTATTGGAGCTGTCCATCTGCTTAAGATGACTCATATTGCTCATAACACTGTTAGTTAACAGAGAGCTAGTGCGACGCTGCACTGGCACTGTTTAGTTAACAGTGAATTAAAGCCTGGCAACCCTGCTGACGTAGTATAATTTTTTTCTTGGGGCAGACATTGACAAAAACACATACTTGTATTATATTTTATATAAATAAATATTACAAAGCTTATTTACTACGACGTGTTTGAATTGACGCCGTATCCGAGCTCTGATCGCTGCGCTCGTCGCAAAAGACGAAGACACCTGGACTGACTCAAGTGGAAAAGAAGGGCAATGGCTGGATCCGCACTTCGTCGCCTTATGGCGGAATACAAACGTAAGTGGGGCGGATGATGGTGCGTGAGCAGACGCGGGTGCTGGTGCGGGTGTTGGCGTTGATTATGTTGTCGTTGTTAGATCCGCCAAAGTCCAAATACTGCATAGGCCTGTGCCCTGCGTCTGCTGCAACAATTTTTTAGTTTTGTTTATCAGCTGAATGACACGCTTCTCATAGAGTTAACGCTGGACCCACCGGAAGGAATCGTAGCTGGGCCCGTTAGTGAAGACAACTTCTTCGAATGGGAGGCGTTAATTGCGTGAGTACTGTCTCTAGCCATCGTAGTGCCTTATCATTTATAGTTGTATCCATTATGTGCGCTTTGCAGTGGACCCGAGGGCACTTGCTTCGAGGGAGGCGTATTTCCCGCACGACTCGTTTTTCCACCCGACTACCCACTGAGTCCGCCAAAAATGAAATTCACTTGTGATATGTTCCATCCAAACATCTTTGCTGATGGCCGCGTTTGCATATCAATATTACATGCGCCCGGCGACGATCCCTTGGGCTACGAGCTGTCGGCAGAACGGTGGAGTCCAGTCCAAAGCGTGGAAAAGATCTTGCTTAGCGTGGTCAGCATGCTGGCGGGTGAGTAAAACTTCGTCGGCCCGCGAATTGCCGCTGATCTTATGACTGTGGTTAATACTATTAGAACCCAACGACGAGAGTGGCGCCAATGTTGATGCGGCCATAATGTGGCGCGAGCGAAGGGAAGAGTTCAATAGTATCGCTCGACGTCTGGTGCGAAAAACACTCGGATTGGCAACATAAACCAGAGGTTCGTTCGCTACGAAACTAGATCCATCCTATCCAACAAATCCAACTATGAGCCGGGCGGAAAGTTGTGGGAAAGCCTCTACGATACAACTCTACCCTCAACCGATGACAACCTTTCACATTAGCAAGATTCAAGAAACATAGCAATAAAATCGGCTGTTAGCTACAAGCGGGCAACAGTTCATCCCGACTTAAGTATTGTATACACTATTGATGTTGATATTCGTATTTCGTACACCATCCTTCAATGTCCACCCGATTTAGTGGAGTTGGAATGCATGGTGGATGGTGGTTCGTGGTTTTGAGCACTATACACATAAAATTACATAAGTTGTTTATCGTATCACTCTGAAGCAGTATAAATATGCGTATATTGGGTCCTCTGCACAACAGTTTGTCGGACTTTTATTAATATTCACGATATATGCACATACGTTTGTATGTATGTATTATCACGGAATTGTTCTGTGATCGCAATAATGCTGTATATCAGGAAGAGAATGGAACCTCTTTCCGGCTTGTCCGTTGATGGGAACATAGCCTAAATCTAGTGGGAAAATCTAGTCTGACTTCTAGCCCTGAAGCAAAAGCCTTCTAGCAAAATCAAGAATAAGCACATTATTTAGTGGCTTCACCCATTTATCTTTGCTACTTTTAATAAAAAAAGAGACATGCGAATAGTCAATTAAAGCAGCAGTCAAGTTTGATCAATTTTAATATGCATATTTATGTACATAAAAACAAGACACATATGTACATATTTATATAGTGACTTGCAAAGGCCAAGGTAGGTACGTAAGGCATAGTAGGAAGTCTAAGATTTCGAATTTTTCGCAGAAGTGTTTTGAAAAAAAAAACAAATGTTTTAAGTTGAAATCCTTTACATTTTTGGTTATAGTTTTATATGTTAATATATATAAATGTATATATACATATAACACGTTGCTTTAAGTAAGTTTATATATCATTCAGAATAAAATACACTTAGGGAATGAATATTAAGAGTTAGACACATGTGTATATGTTTGTACATAGTATGTTATATGTATGCACCTAGCAATAACAACTACATACGAGTATACTCCACTGGAAATATTTGTTTACCCATTAATAATTTTGGGCGAATTCAACGTGCATATCTGACAGGGATATGTTTCACCATCATGCTCTATAGTTATGCCAGCTAGATAGTTGTGACAGGATATGTTTGCGACATACTCTACTAAGATGTTCAACTCAGCAGACGGGACGGTAAAGACGGTAACTGATGTCAGCAAGGGAATGTATGTAAGCTTTGTTTGTATGAATTCACTGCTCTTTTCATATTTTGTACGAGTCGAAAAGCCCAGCAGCGGCCGAAGCTGGCTGAATTTACTCTCTCAACCAAGTAGCTTTGGTCAACTGGGCTTTGTTTTCTAGCACATAGTGGGAGGGCGGGATGGGTTAGAGCAGCACGTGCTTGTTAGTATAATTATCCGCTATGAAATTGACAAACCGGTTCTAATTCCATGAAACTGCAATATAAATGGCGAAATGAATACAGTAATTCCAAATGGCCAAGCTGCAAGTACACGAACATTATTTGTTGGATTTTCTGTATAATTCTATAACAATGTGTGTACATATGTATAACTAAATGCTTGTAGGTATATGTACACGTCCTCTGCGGACATACAGGCACACATATCGGGGTCATTGCAAAAAACATTGAACAAATATGTACATACATACTATATTAACAGGCAACCAACTAAACAGAATCACAAAATGACAATCATAACAAGAATGGATGCAGTTGATAGGGCGAAACGAACTCAGGTTGCTATTGGACTAAATAATAGTGACGTCCAGCGCCTCGGCTAGCTAGTCAACATGGTACTCAGTCCGATAAGGCGAACCGCGTCGTTTCTCAGCCACGAACACGTTGCTGATCCCCGACAGGCTGGTCACACCCCGCGATCCTGTGCTGCGGAAGTAGATGAGCAGGTACTGCTCACCATGCCGTAGCTCCACGTCGTCGGCAAAGTCGATGCGCACTTGCTCTCCGTTCGTCTCTTGCTGGCGCCGCAGACGCTGGCGATTCCGATGATGGTGGCGGCCACGCCGATGCGGGGCAGGCGTATCGAAGTATTCGCGCTCGTTGTTCGAGTCCGATGAAGTTGGCGACTCAGCCTGGTTGACGTACTCATAGGCAGAGTAGTGCGCCAAGCTGGCATAGTCAACGGGGTATATGCCTATCCAGTCATGGGGACCTTCTTCGAACTCCGCCTGCTTGTGGTACTCCACGGTGTTCTCATCACCAATGCTCCACAACGAAATCGGGGAGAAACTCACACCTGGGGCACGAACATTTGGATACATCTTGATAGTAAAATCACTTGTGACCGGCTTGTGGTCGCTGATGTTGTAGACTGGGTGGGATTTGTACGAGCACTGTTCGATGGCCAGCTGCATGCCACGTTGACGGTTCGACGGCTGCACGGCGTACATGATGCGATCCGTCCAGGCGGGACGACGCTTCAAATCGTACTCGGAGGTGCCTTCCTTGTACTTAAACGTGGGTGGAAATGCAGGCATTCGTTCGTGCATCACTTGGAAAGCTTGCTGTGTGTGTTCCCGAACATGCAACAGCTGATCCCGCTTTATAAGAGTCTCGTGCTGGCTTTCATCGCGCAACGCCTCCCTAACCTCTGTTGAGGAGTCGTTGCCCTGTAGCCGAAAGTTGAGATCACCGAACCAAAAGACATAATCGTGGTCGTATATCTCACGATAGTGTTTCACGTGATAATGGTGATTCTCCAGTATTTGTTTGTAATCATCGATCCGTTCATCTAGTTGATGGTCGTGGGCAGCCAAGTGGGCCACCACGAAGGCCAGTCCACATCCATACATTGTGAAACGAACACTCACCGCGCCCTTGTTACCCCAAATGCCGCCAAAGCCAGTACGCGTGAACTCCGCCTCGATGTCATGCAGGTGCTCCACGTGAGGGCGCCGCACAAACATGGTCAGCAGCAGGCCCTGCATTTGCTCTGACTTCACCGACACATAGTTGTAGCTGCGCAGAAGCTCCTTTGCCTTGTGCGTCCACGGATCCTCCTTAAACAAGCTTAAAACCTGTTGCTGTGGCTGTGCATTCACCTCCTGCAGTCCAATGGCATATATGTCCGGCAAGTGCTTTTCCGAGATGGCAGCATCGCTTGCATCATCCAAGCTGAGCAGTTGGCGCAGTGATATGTTGTCCGGAAAGCGACTGCCTACATTCCAAGTGACCACATAAACGCGATAGGTTCCCAGCTGTTGGCGTGAATTGCCAGCAGCAGCCGCCTCGACGTCGTTTGTTTTCTCGGCACTCGAGCTGAGGTCTTCATTGTGGCTCATTGTGAACAGAGATAGAAACCGAATAGAAATACCTCCACTAAAATTTGTTGGGTGTACTATGCTACCTCTAAGCTGTAAATAGTGGATAATTAATTTGCGTCGCTGCACTATAAAGCCTACCACCTGCTGTTATGTGTGCAATCCGATTTCACGTTGAATTGGTTAGATTACAACAAAACAGCTTTTGTGACTTATGTGTTTACGTAGTATTTGTAGCTTATTAGTCAATTGTCATGGGTGTGAATATATTTGTTAATAGGAGAAAACGATATATATCGGGGTAGCTTAGCCTTGCCCGTTTTAAAAAATTATGAATAAGATTATAACTTTAATATATATTAGCTTTGGACTTGGAGGGCCAATCTAATAGCCTGTTGACACTGGGACTGAGGCATGTGTCTTTCCGGAGTCGCAGTTTTTTTTTACTTTAAGTACAGATAAGAGATGATACTCGTATAGAAACCATAAAGAATTCATGTCTTTTTTTCGTCACTAACCATACAGTATATAGATGTGTCAGTTCATACATGTCATGTCGGTCTACCAGTTTAGCTGGGATCAGCGCTGGACAAACTAGACGCATATATCTCTCTCGCTCTCACTGCGTGCTTTTTCCATAGGGCTGTCTCTGTTTTTTTCAGCTAGTCCAGCTTCAAAGTCTAATGTCATAAGGCCATTACAATGTCACAAATAATGTCTCAGTTATTTGATTGATAGCCGGGATATGTGTTTAGAGACGGCTAAGAATATTAATTTTGCGTTTTGTCTATCCCTTTGCAGAAAAATTTGGAAAATTCGAATGTCATAACAGCTTAACAAACTACAATTTCTGCCGCATTGTTGATCCCAGCTCAACTGGAATGCCAACTGGACGGATATACGTATATAGCCGAATACCCTGGGAGCGTACGCAGAAAATTCGTTTACATATTCTTTATATGAACTGGCACATCTATGTACTGTATGGTAAGTGGTAGCGGCGACTAGTTTAAAAACTATCGCATAACAGACTTATGAATGAAATCGTTTTTGGGCAAACAATCGGTTTTTGCGTGTGGTCATACTGTTGTCTGCATTTTCGACTCAGCGTGTTGAAATAAGGAAATTTTCAATTAATTGTTCAATTTTTAAACGAAAACTAAATAAATAAATAACATAATGGCTTCGATCAGTTTGCTGAATCCCAAGGCCGAGTTCGCCCGTGCCGCTCAGGCTCTGTCCATCAACATCAGTGCCGCCAAAGGTCTGCAGGATGTGATGCGCACCAACCTGGGTCCCAAGGGAACAGTAAAAATGTAAGTAACTGCCTTTATTACTGTGACATCCTAGCCACCAGAGTTTAAATTCATTAGCGACAGAACACAGTCGAAAAACATGCATTCAGAAACAGATGCCGTGCCCCGTGATGTTTAAGGTTAGAAACGAACTGCAATAGCGGCATGCGTCATCGTGCCAGCTGACGGTACTGTAGAACCACAGAACTAGCTTAAAGATTTACGGATTTCATAGATTATTACTGAAAATAATAAGATAAGAGAAACTAACATTTTGAGTCTAGGTCAAGGCAAGGGACAAAATGTTTCCCTTGCTATTAGCCGGATAGCGAAACTGTAGAAAGAGGAGTGACGCACGCGCTTAACGTACGCACACTAACAAAAATTTCTCGAATATTCTAGGTTGGTTTCTGGAGCCGGGGATATTAAAATAACCAAGGATGGCAATGTCCTGCTTCATGAAATGCAGATCCAGCATCCAACTGCTTCGATGATTGCCAGGGCCAGCACGGCCCAGGATGATTCCACTGGAGATGGCACCACCACTACAGTGATGCTTATTGGAGAGCTTCTCAAGCAGGCAGATATCTACTTGTCTGAGGGTCTGCATCCCCGCATCATGGCCGAGGGATTTGAGAAGGCCCGCGACAAGGCGCTGGAGGTCCTCGACAAGGTCAAAGTGCCCGTGGAAATCAACAAGAAGAATTTAGTGGAGATCGCGAACACCAGTCTGAAGACCAAAGTGCATCCCGCCCTGGCCGATTTGCTCACTGAGGTGTGTGTGGAAGCTGTTCTGACCATAGCTAACGATAAGAAGCCTGTTGATCTGCACATGGTTGAGCTGATGGAAATGCAGCACAAAACTGACACGGACACGCAGCTGGTGCGTGGACTGGTCATGGACCATGGCGCTCGCCATCCGGACATGCCCAAGCGGTTGGAGAATGTCTACATTCTCACCGCCAATGTCTCCCTGGAGTACGAGAAGGCTGAGGTCAATTCGGGATTCTTCTACAAGACGGCCGAGGAGCGGGAGGCGTTCGTCCGTGCTGAACGTGAATTTATTGATCAGCGTGTGAAGAAGGTGATTGAACTGAAACGGTCGGTGTGCGATGGCACAGACAAGACTTTCGTGTTGATCAACCAGAAGGGAATAGATCCTATTTCCTTAGATGCCCTTGCCAAGGAGGGAATTCTGGCTCTTCGTCGCGCCAAACGCCGTAATATGGAGCGCTTGGCTCTGGCTTGCGGCGGTACCGCCATGAACTCCTTTGACGATCTTCAAGAGGAGCATCTCGGCTACGCTGGTGTAGTTTACGAGCATGTCCTGGGTGAGAACAAGTACACATTTGTGGAAGACTGCAAAAATCCGCTTTCGGTCACCATTTTGATCAAGGGACCTAATAAGCACACCATTACTCAGATCAAGGATGCCATCCGTGATGGCCTGAGAGCCATCAACAACACAATTGCCGACAAAGTTCTAGTACCTGGCGCTGGCGCTTTCGAAGTGCGTGCCTACAACGAGCTGGTGGCATACAAAGACACCATCAAGGGCAAGGCGCGTCTGGCAGTGCAAGCCTTTGCTGATGCTCTGCTGGTGATACCCAAAACGCTAGCCGTTAACAGTGGATACGACGCCCAGGACACTATCGTGAAGCTTACCGTCGAGGATCGCTTGCACCCGGACCTAGTTGGGCTCGATCTGGCCACCGGTGAGCCCATGAAGCCCGTCGATATGGGTGTCTACGACAACTACATCGTCAAAAAGCAGATACTCAACTCCTGCTCCATAATTGCCAGCAATCTGCTGCTCGTCGACGAGGTAATGCGTGCGGGCATGACCAGCCTCAAGGGCTAATCTTCTCAGCCGACTCACTCGATTAATCAAGTAAATGCATAACTTATACCCGCGACTAAAACCACAAAAACAATTCAGAACTAAACAAAATTGAAATTGTACACTCGCTAGCTATTTTCAAAATGTTTCAGCGATTAAAAGTATTCACATATACACCATCATAATGCATTTCTAATTCTTTTATTAAGACTACTGTTTAATTAATACAAACATTGGCTTCAAATTAAAAGCTAATACTATAATTGAATAAAGTTATTTTGTCATTTTCTATTTTGTTTAATGAATAATTAATACAATCCATTGGTTTCAAATTGTTATTATTGTTATATGTATTATGCTAGGTGAATAGCCGTGTGGCCAAGTGGAGGCCAATTCTGGTCTGGCAGGTGATTGGGGTCGTGATAAATGCTAAGTCGGGTCTGGCGTTAAGTTGAGCTAAGTAAAGATGGCCAAGGTAGGGTCTTTCGGCTCCTAATATATCATAGAAACGATTTTTAAATAAATTTAGCGAGACAACGCCTGTCTCGTGGTAGGTATATTTCCGAGGTGGACTTTCTCTGATAACATTTTTATATTTTGTAATTTAACGGTGGAACCAAACAATAATAATAAATTGTTAAAACAAAAAAATAACAGGATTTGGAGCTATAGCTCCTGAGGCCTTGGCTCACCAGGGTTATTGTTTCAGTTTAAATATAAATACATATGTATAGTGCTCTTAGGTATTAACTATAAATATTTATAGTGTTGATTATATATTGTGTAGGATTTTGGAACTTTCTGGAAATTCAAGAATTTTGTTAGCAATATATTGCATGGGGTCTGTATTATTGAACGTTGTGGATCTCTGTGCGGCGAGAGGGGGGCGATTGTGAATTATGTGGCGTATGTCTATGCGTGTTTCACGTAGTGTAAGGTATGGTTTTGTCTAGGTCTGTTTATGATAACTTGGTGCTTATACCCGACACTCAAAATGAGTATTGGGGTATATTAGATTTGTGGTGAAAATGGATGTGTGTAACGTCCAGAAGGAATCGTTTCCGATCCCATAAAGTATATATATTCTTGATCAGCATCAATAGCCGAGTCGATTGAGATATGTCTGTCTGTCTGTCCCCATGAGCGCCTAATGTTCAGAGACTTCTGTGATATGTCTCTGTTGCCCACAAAGGGCGAAAATCTCTTGCATCCACAATATTGCACATTCGAGAAAACTAAAAACGCACAATCATAGAGAATGACCAAATCTATCCGGTTGCTGAATCTGATTCAGTTCGGATCATTTTTGTAGCCAAAAGCAACAAATCAATTTGCAGTGGCTACGCAGCGCCCGACCTCACGCTCAGACTAATTTTCTGTCTCTCTCGCACGCATTCTTTGTCGTGTCGTTTAATATTAGCGACGTCTGCCGGAGGGGAGCCATACTGACTTAGTATCGGGTATAACTGTAGAGTTGCGGTGTCCGCAGCAACTCACAACGTTCCCCCTCGTTTTGGATTAGGCCCCATTGTGCATCGTACGCCGGGAAGGGAAGTGGGCAGGGAAGGACAAGGCGCGACAATAAACAAGAGACTGCACATTGAAAATATTGGCTTTCATAATCAAATCAAACTCGGGACAGCTTCGCTTCAACACAATTTAATTATTTGCATTTTTATACCCGATACTCAAAATGAGTATTGGGGTATATTAGATTTGTGGGAAAAGTGGATGTGTGTAATGTTCAGAAGGAATCGTATATATTCTTGATCAGCATCAATAGCCGAGTCGATTGACGGGTGGCCGGACCAGTTCGCCACTCGGTAGATTGCAGCCAATCCTCACATCGTTGGCAACACTATGCGATGCCAATGCCAATCCTCTGACAATGCAAGCCAATACTATGCTACTATGCTACTACACATATGTAGATAAGCAGTAGGCGCCACACTTATTGTATAATGTGCCATTTCAAATACAACTCTCTCATTTGAGAGACTGCCAGTTTTGTTCGCATTGTCGAACACAACACAAAACAAATCACATCAGAAAAAAAATCAGAAAAATTAAGAAAAAAACAAATTTTTTTCAAATTTCAATGGTCGAAATTTGGAGGCCTTACCAGTGACGCTGCCCCATACGATGGCCGTGACGTCACTCCAACTTCAAGAAGTCAGCAGCCATCTCCAACGACGAGGCCAGCCGCTACAACGACACTGGCCAACGAGCCAAAGCCAATACCATCGACAATGCATCCTGGGTGGCCGGACCAACAGCCACTCGGATGCAGCCAATTCCAATTAATAGGAAACCTACTTAAATTATAATGACTTAATGGTTCTGCTAAATCTGGTAAGAAAAAATATTTTTGTATTATTACTGCCGATTTAATTATGAATTTTGTAAGCCTTTCCGTCTCTACGACCGTGGCAGACGAGCGTAATGGAAACGGAAGGAGGACGAAGGACGAAGCCGCATAGAAGAAACGCCTGAGCCATTGTTTCTTTTATTTTTTTTTTCCACTTTTTGCTTTATTAAAAAAAATCCACTTTGTTCTTAATCTCTAGTAAAAAGAATTCCGAAATAATATTTTTCAAAATGTAGAATTTTTTTTATTTTTATACCCGATTCTCAAAATGAGTATTGGCGTATATTAGATTTGTGGTAAAAGTGGATGTGTGTAACGTCCAGAAGGAATCGTTTCCGACTCCATAAAGTATATATATTCTTGATCAGCATCAATAGCCGAGTGATTGAGCCCTGTCTGTCTGTACGTCTGTCCGTCCGTCCGTCCGTCCGTCTATCCGTCCCTATCAGCGCCTAGTGCTCAAAGACTATAAGAGCTAGAGCAACGACGTTTTACATCCGGACCTCTGTGATATGTACCTGCTACAAGAATATTTCAAAACTTTGCCCAGCCCACTTCCGCCCCGCAAAGGGCGAAAATCTGTGGCATCCACAATTTCGACGATACTAGAAAACTAAAAACGCAGAATCGTAGAAGATGACTATATCTTCGAGAGTGCAAGATCTGAACCAGATCGTATAAATATTATAGCCAGAATCATGAAAACAATTTCATTCTTTCTCGCTCTGTCTCTCTCTAACACACAGGTTTCATGGTAGGTTTTGCCAATTGCAAAATATGAGTTCAAGGATCTCAGAACCTATAAGAGCCAGAGCAACCAAATTTGGTATCCGCACTCCTGTTAGATCTCACTATAAAACGTATATCTCAAAATGTCGCCCCACCCCCTTCCGCCCCCACAAAGGACGAAAATCTGTTGCATCCACAATATTGCAGATTCAAGAAAACTAAAAACGCAGAATAGATAATGACCATATCTATCAGGTTGCTCAATCTGGATCAGATCGGATCATTTTTATAGCCAAAAGGAACAAATCAATTTGCACTGGCTACGCAGCGCCCGACGTCATGCTCAGACTGATTTTCTGTCTCTCTCGCACGCACTCTTTGTCGTGTCGTTTAATATTAGCGGCGTCTGCCGGAGGGGAGCCATACTGACTTAGTATCGGGTATAACTGTAGAGTTGCGGTCTCCGCAGCAACTCACAACGTTCCCCCTCGTTTTGAATATATTTTGTGTGTATTAATTTGTGTCGTCCAAAGGTAGTGAATACTTAACCAATGTGCCTGTCTCTTATGGTCAATAACTAATTTTGTGCGCAATTGTGCGAGAAAGTAATTATGTATTATTGTTGTGCGCCATGTTGCGCCGGTGTGCGCATTTAAATTTATTTGTAAATGAGGTGGAGTTCTATTATGAAAAGCCGCTCAGTATTAACAAGAATACTGAACCACCAGATCTGAACCCCATAGAGCATGTTTGGGATTTGCTGGACAAAAAAAATTAGGAGACATAAAATTTCCTCCAAGGAAACCTTTAAAACGGCTCTGATGACGGAATGGGAGAAAATTAATCACAATGAAACCAATCATTTGGTAAAAATTATGCCCCGACGTCTAAAAGCTGTTATTGAAGCTAAGAGCGACCCCACCAAATATTGAAATCAGAAAAATAGGGGACGATAAGTTTTTTTCGTACAAAATAAATTGTGTCCGAATAATTTTTGTGCGTAAAAAAGGTGGCCTTTTGATACTTTTAATTTTTTTTTTTTAGGTTTGAAATTAGTAGTAGTAATATCCATGTTCATAATGAAATAAAATTTGTTTGTTAAAGTTAAATACTTTTCAAGTTATTTATAAAGAAAGTTGATATAGACGAGTGTCCGAATAAATGTTGTGCTGACTGTATATTGAAAATAATCGAAGCACCGCAGCGCATTCGAGTTGGGTTTTCGAAGAACTGAAAAAAGGATGAAATAAATAATAAAGTAAGGAGCTTTTATCTACACATCCAGAAGTATTTGGCAAAATGCGGCAGAAGCATGTCTAAATTTAAGAAAAAGCATAACTCATGGCTTTTCCAAGATGGTTATCAAAGTTGAAAGTACTTCGTCATCGAATTCCATGACTTCAACATCAAGATCAGTTGAGTTTTTTTCTTAAAATTGCTTATAGAACTGGAATGGCAAGTTAAAGATGAAAATGGAAAAAAATAAATGGCGAAAAAGAAAAAGCACATACAGGAGAAGATGTGGAGGAATATGGCTCTACATGTCGATAAGCCTAAAAAAAATGGAAGTGGAGACACCAACGACGGCAACACAGCAAGAAAAGCCTTTTCAAAACCTAAGCTACTGGCTCAAATATTAGGTCTTGATGAGTATCTCTCACACATTTTCAAAATATTTTAATTGCGATTTCCTGCCAACTGTCAAGAAATAGTTACACTATATATGTATGTCCTTGTACTCATGGTTTCCGATGTCTGCAACAGTTCATAAAGTTTTAATTCACGGTTTCCAAATAATAGAAGAATCTGTACTGCCAGTAGGTGTTCTTGGAGAAAACGTATCGGAAGAACGCAATAAATACTATAAGAGTGACAGACAGACAGACATGATCGAAAGGATTTACGACGCAACAATATGACAGATGTTTTCCAAAGAGCAATGGATTTCTCTGGTCCTCTTGTATCGAGCATCTATCTAACAAAAAGATTGGCTGGAAATAAAAGCGACCCACTGCCGAAAGCTGTTATTGAACTTTTAGAAACACCATGTTTTGAAACATTTTTTATAAGAATAATGTGTCC